TTTTCATTTTTTTTAACAAACAAATTCCCTGCTGAGATCTTTCTAAGACCTCTTAAGACTGTTGAACAGTACTTTATATTGAACCAAGTGAGAATTTTTTGCCAACCAAAAATATCCAGCCAGCAGTCTTCCTCTGGTCTGGAACCTGACCACTGATGAAGGGCTAGGGGATGTCAGAACTGACGAATCAAACACACTGAAAAGACTGGCTTAAAATATAATCTATTTAGATTCTCAGCCAAACTGGTTGAATAAAATCAATGCTGATACATACCATATTTGAGAGAACTGTGTTATTTTTCTCTTTATAAGGACTTGGTGTTAAAAAGCACTGAATTTGATTTTAAGTGTAGCAAATCGCTTTTGTGTTCAAGTCACAGTTTAAAATTGCTAGAGTTGCCGTTTTAATTGTTGCCTGCATTATCAGCGCTGTTGTCTTAGAAATGTAACTAAATAACATGGAATTTGTGAACCACCTGTAGATGAGTTAGACCATTCAAAAACAACCAAACTATTATGTGCTCTGTACATGACACCACGACCACAACTAATTGTCAGACTGATATGCTCCAGCCAAGTGTTCAAGCCTCAAGCCAGAAAAATATGGATATGCTGGTCTTCTTGTCCAGAAAAAAAACAGGCCAGAACCTTAATTTAACTTAATCAACTACACATTCGATGCAAAATTGTGGCCACCCTTCATGTTTACAATTTTTAAATGAAAATATGTTAATGCATCATCCACAGAGAACACCCTCCTGCACGTTTTAATGCATAATTACTGTTTATTTGCTGAAATTAGGCTGTTGGGGGAAAAAATAAAACCTAAAATGTGGCCTGTGCAAAAGTTCTGGCATATTTTATATTATGTTTTAACTGAGCATATAAATAGAACTTCTAAAATTTGCTGAAAAATGCCGCATTTAAGTTCCCTGTAGAGGATGTGATAACTTATTTTCACTCAGAAAATCAGTGTAACGTGTAATTTGACTAGGGTTGTTCAGACTTTTGCATACAGCTGTATCTGTCGAGTGTAAGTGAGGACAGCTTTGCAGAGCAAGCTATCAGAATTCAATCTCTAGGTGGCGTGTGTTGAGTTTGCCCTGAGAGCTGAATCGTTTATGCAGTATGGTGTGTGTATATTTGGCCAGACCTTGTCCACTTCAATTAGATGGACGGGCTTGAGCATACGCAGCTCATTGTTGAAGCAGGGTGTGTGGTGGGGCAGCTCGGAGTGTATAATAGCAGCCCACCATACAGAGGAGAGGCTCATGGCATCATCCCTTTTTCGAAAAGGAGACAGTGATACACCTGCTAATTATCATCTCCAGCTGGTGAGTTAAATGGAGATGTGTTTTGCGGGCCACCTCTGACCCCGTGCTCTTTACTTGACGCACTTCAAACCCTGTTGGGGAGTCCATGCAGTAGAGTTTAATGAGGCCCCATGTTTGCCCTCTGCGGGCCCTGCGAGTCGGACGCAGCACTTTCATCCCGAACCATCCTCCCTTGATGTAAATTGAAAAGATCACAGCTACGGGGAAAAGACCTATACTGGAAAGGCCTCTCTGCATAGATTATGAATATCATAACTCAACATCAACCCCCCTTCCCCTCTTTCTCTCTTTACCCACCCCCTACAATACCATGCTTATAATTGGACCCAATGGGGGACTCTCCCTTTGATCAGATCATAGGCTGAGTGACTTTACACTAAAAAATGTCACTGCCAAATAGGTTTATCACCTGTAGAGCTAAGCTCCCTTCTGAAGCCCCCCTGCTCGTGTCTCGTTAGTGATACTCAAAGTATAATAGTTAATTAGTCTGACAGATCAATTACTGTTATTGCATGCTTGATGAGATGCGTGTGCCACTATCAAAAACCTATTATTAATTTGAAGTTTACCGCCACAACTCGTTTCGCATGCAAATAAGAGCAGTGGTATGAACAGGAGCATGTAAGGACATAAACTGTAAAGAAACATGCATGCATTTGGTTCAGTTTAAGACTTTCTCTTTTAAGTATTTATATTGCCAAGTCAGAGACCAATCACAAAGGCACATAAGTAAGTTGAGATATTACTGAGATTAGATATCAGATAAACCAAAGCAGTTCAAAACATTATTAGAAAATACCAAGACAATAAACCTCCAAACAATCTTGCAAGACCTGGTAGACCACCAAATCTGTCACCATCACATAAACAGTACTTAAAGCTTTCATCTTTGAGAGAGAGGAGAAAGTCAAGCTTCAGATCTGAAAAAATCAACCGATGTTTCTGTCCATCCTTCCACTGTGAGAAGACAACTCAGCGCTATGGGTCTGACAGGATGTGTAGCTGTTAAGAAGCTCTTACTGAGAACATTTGCAAACTGTGCAGAGAAGCTGCTGATCTTCTCAGAACATCATTGAAGGTGGATTACTTGGATCATTAGAAGCAGAAAATACAACCAACTTCTAAGACTGAACTTTGGAGCAGTGGAAAAACATCCCTGCAGATTTCTTTGAAGAAGCAAGTCTTTTGAAAGGAATGGAAGCTGTACTAAAGGCAAAGTTTGGATGCAATAAATGCTAAATATGGTGTAATTTTCTGTTAAATATGTTTTCTGATTTTTTTCTATTTCTGAAAAAGTAATAACTTGTACTTAATTGTCGTTTTGGCTGGAAATGAAATAACTAAAGGGTGCTCTCTGACTTTTGCTCAGCACTGTACATTTATTCTTGACACATTTTTTGTGGAGTGAATACCTCGTCTCATTAGACGTATTTACATGCTGATGACTGTTGCGAACACAATAACTTCTTGTTATACCTCCTCCTTACTCGCCTGCTGGGTACGCTCTCCCGCGTGTGAATGACAGTTTGTTGTCTTTGATTTTTCAGAAAAAACGAAGACAGTTTAATGGATTGTTTGGGGAGAAAAAACAGTTAATGCATCAACATGAAATATTAATACGGTGCCAACTTTACATAAACATAAAAGCTCTTAGTCCAGCGTGAATATGGAGATGACACATGTTAATTTAGCACTGCTAAACTTTCTGTTTGATGCTTGTGAGCATTCGCAATGGCAGCTTTGGGACGCTATGAGTGAGAGAGAGTGCCCCAGCAGAGACACGGGACAAAAAGAAGATGTTTAAAAACGCTCAGAATGAGCAGTGCAGCACTCTGTGAATGTCCTTTGAATTTCCAAATCCATGACTCTGCTTCTCTTCCAAGTTTTCCTCATCATATCATCTGCTTCGAACAATGTCAATAATGATTTGATGCAGGGTGCCGCCTCTGCATGCTCGATGAAGCCTCTCCTTCTTTAGTATTCACTCGAAGCCCTCTTTGACTGAGTTAAGGGTTCTGCTCCTTGCTTGATATTCACTGATGAACGAAGTCAAACTGATTATTGATATGCTAGGTGCTGAGCTCGGGATGCAGGAATGCAAATGAGGCTTTAGCAGATGGTGCGTGCTTTGCAGTCTTCATAATCAAAATTAGTAAAGCTTATGTTTCACATTCTCACTGGTTTTAAAGCTCAGTCCCTGGATTTGTGTGTTAATGTTGCTGATGGTGAATAAATTTGGTTCACGGCTGAAATATTTGGTTTACTGGCAAACTTTTTATGGAGAATCTTTTGCTTCATTGCTACAACTTTGATGTTTGATGTTAAATCAATTGATTTACTGCTGAACATTTTTTATGGTGGATCGAATGTTTTACTGCTAGAAATTTTGTGGAATTTTATGGTGAATCCATTGGTTTTCATCTATAACAATTTTACAGTGGATCTGTTGGTTTACTTCTAGACATTTGATGGATTTTCATCATGAATTTATTGGTTTGCTTCTAGAACTTGTATTCATTGGTTTGCTTGTAGAACTTGACTTTTGGCAAAATCACTACACCTTTGGGGTACATTTATTGGTTTACTACTAGAAATTCTATGGTTTATTATGGTAAATTGGTTGCATTCTTATGTGTAGGGATTTTTACGGTATTTTTTTTGGTTCACTGCTAGACATTTAATGAATTTTTATTGCTAATTCATTGGTTTTCTCTTCTAAACAATTTTACAGTGAATCCATGTGTTCAGTGCTAGAAATGTTATGGTGAATCCATTGGTTTACAGCTGGACTTTTTATAGATTTTCATGGTCGATTTGCTGTTTTTACTTGTATTATCTTACTGCTACAAGTGGATTGTTATGATAAATCCCATGCTTTTTTACTGCTAAACATACTGCGATGAATCAGTTGATTTACTGCTGGAAATTTTATGGCTTTTATGGTGAATCCATTGGTTCAGCTAAACAGTTCTGCTGCACTGGTTTACTGCTAAAACTTTTTTTATGCTGAGCCCATTGATTTACTGCTTAAACTTTTATGGATTTTTATGGTGAATCCATTGATTTTACTGCTCAACATTTTTATGATGAATCCTTTTAAAGTTGAACTGAGACTGTACTCCCTCCTGTTTCAGTGAATGGCCCATGCCATGTACCCTCTGGATAGAGTGAAATCATGCCATGCTTCCTTAACCATCCGGTACCTTCAGAAAGATGACTGAAAGCAGGGCTGGTGGCACAGAAAACTAATTAAAGCTTATGTGTGTCAAGATACTTTTTAGGATGGAGAGAGGGGGTGAAGAAGAGAAAGATGCCCTGTCAAAGTCTCTTTGCTTTCAGCTTCCTCAAGAAAAAAAAGAAAGAAAAAAAGCTAGCTCCTCCCCCACACACCCTGCCATTGCCTCAATTAACAGAGCAGCAGGTGCTCTCAGCAGCACAACAGATAAGCTACAAGGGGAGCGAAGAGGCTCCTCTTTATTTCTTTTCTCTTTCTCTTCTTTTTGGGGGTGACCTGCAAATGTGACACTTCACACCCTGAATGGTTTTGCCTCTTCCCCCACCAATTTCAGAGGTGCTAATTTAACTCTCTCTCTCTCTCTCTCTCTCTCTCTCTCTCTCTCTCTCTCTCTCTCTCTCTCTCTCTCTTTCTCTCTCTCTCTCTCTCAGGTTTCCAGTCTAAAGAGTAAGCTGAAGAAGCAGTCGACTGCTACGGGCAGCGGAGTGGCTCGGGCCTTTCTGCGCTCACAGGCCGCTCTGTTCGGCTCCTATAGAGACGCTCTGAGATACAAGCCTGTAAGATTTCCCCCAGCTGTCTCCTTTCCCTCGTGGTGAATTACTCCATCAATACATCTTAAGGCCCGCACCATATATATGCTATACTAAGACTGAAATTTGCCGTGATAATATCAGAATCATATTGATATCAGCAGATATGATGTTTAGATTTGATGACATCTTTATTATACTTTATACTTTATTTTTATTCTGTTCATTTTAGTGCATTTGTAACTCTACAGAAATAAAAGTTGTATTTCTCTTTAATTCTAATCCATCTTGAGTTAGTCCCAATTTCTACATTTTATAAAGGTTAATGTATCAGTATCAGCATCAGCAGATATGTACATGAAAAATATCAGCTATTGGCATCAGCCAAAAATCCAGCCCAAAATTATCCTTAATCACTGTGTGTTTGTGGGCTTTGACCAACTCGGCCAATCACAGTTCCATTCTGATCAAACTGGTTTGGTCAAAATAATGCTGGCAGAGTTTTAACCATATCTTATTATTGATTTACCAAATAGTAAATGTTGTTAATGAATTTTAAGCTGTTTTTTGGGTGATACCAATCCAATATTTTTTATATTGGCCCATTTCCAATACCCATCGATACTGATGTGCCATCACTGTATGTGGCAGTATAATCCCAGTAGTACTAGGACTTTGTGTGCTATCATGTACATCACTGAGACATCGAGCTTCGCCTTAAATCTCTACCACTCATTCATATTGTTCCCCTAGCATAATTGCCGTGACATAGTTTTACTGTAATTGATGAATAATTCATATTGATTACTTAATGTTAATAACTGACAACAAAAATTTTGAGACCAAACACAGGCTAAGGATCTTTATATCATAATGTCTTCCAGTACTTGAACTGCCATTCAAAAGAAGCCAAGCAAAGTGCCGTCTATAGGCAAAAAGAAGGGCGGGGGGGAGGGGGAATGGCTGAGTTAAGGTGGGCCAGTCTGTATCAGTGAAATGTCAGAAGTTGAAAAGCCGGGACAGCCTCTTTGAAGCCTCCTTTCAGGCCTGGTGTGGTATTCTTCTCAGGCCCTTCTCAACTCCTGAAATGCGCCTTTCAGTCCTGCACCCGGAGTCGGGTAAAAACAAAGTACGCTCTCTGTTTGTCAAATATGGCTGCCTTTGTTGGAAAGGGTGAGAGTAATTGGTTTGTGTAGACCCACAGCGTGAAGATACATAATTGATGTTGCGGCAGTGGTGTGTACACAGGCTGACTTTTCTCAGACACAAAAAAACACTTGTGTTATAAAAAAAAAGAAAGGCGGGTTTGCACAACTCTTAACCTTCAAAGCACTGTCTCAATTGAGCACAGCGGCATCAGATCTTTATAGAATTGTAATCACTTTCTCTTCTATGAGAAATGCTCGCCTTTGCTTGGGCTTTGAATTTGAAAGACCTTCCTGTTAGTTGAAGGCACACCCATGTATAATGAAAACACGTACCTGGGACTTTTACCACTGAGGACTGCTGCTGTTATTTTAATTACAGCTAATTTATTTTAACTACAAATCGTTTTAACAAAATTTCATGATCATGTGGCAGCTGCAGCGTGATTTATTGTGTTTTGAGAAATTGGGTTTGAGGTTACATCGTATAGGGTGAAAAATAACTTGGGAGCCACATGTCGAGTGCTGATTTTCTTCTAACATTGGAAAACAGTTTAGAAAGATCTTACGTTTGTTCAAGAGAATTTTAAGCATAATAATTTTAAGCATAATAATCTTAGTTATTTAAGCATTGTAAAGTATAAAGTGGGCATAGAACTAGATACAAGAACAGAGAATGTGCATGCTGACTGTTCTGTTGTTGCATTCATGGACTGGTAGTAGTGCTGTTTTGCAGATCTCTCATATCAGTAAAGAAAATGGACCTGCAATTTCTGATAGGGCTTTAATAATAATAATAATTTATATAGCACTTTTCTTGCTCTAAGTGCTTTACAGACAAGTGATTAAAGTTTAACAGTAATACAAGAAATTGAGTACTAAAATAAAATCAAAGAAAATTACACAGATCAAATAAAAAGGTAAATACAGTTTTATTTAAATGCTAAATTAAAGAAGTACGTTTTTTTAGATGCTTCTTAAAAGTGAACACTGAGCTTGACTGTCTAATAAAAGGTGGAATTGAGTTCCACAGTTTAGAAGCAGAATAACTGAACAAGTCTCTCCATGTTTTCTGTATTTTACAGAAGGTGTTTGCAGAAGGTCAGTATCTGCAGATCTAATATCACGTGCTGGAACATAAACAGATAGACACTCTGTGATATAAGCGGAGCTTTATGGTCATTTAGAGCCTTAAAACTATTAGCAGAACTTTAATATCTGAATTCTGAATGACACAGGTAGCCAGTGCGGTTATTTTAAAACGGGAGTGATGTGATCTCTCTGTTTTGCTTTTGCTAGGATCTGTGCTGATGCAGTTACAATGAGTTGTAAGGGATGTATTGTTTTCTTAGGAAGTCCAGTAAGAAAAGCATTGCAGTGATCAACTCTGCTTGTAACAAATGCATGAACAAGTTTCTCTGCATCGCTCTGAGAATTTTAGCAATATTTCTCAAATGATCAAAAGCTACTTTCGTCACTGTGTTTACATGCGGGATAAAACAGAGCTCAGAGTCTACGATCACACCCAGGTTTTGTTCGTCAGGTTTGGTATATGAAGCTAAAAAAACAATTTTCTCATAAAGCTGCTTTCTCTGAGTTTTTGTACCACCGATCAGTATTTCTGTTTTTTCGTGATTTAATTGTAGAAAATTCCCTTGCATAAGAAAGGGGAAGGTCAAAGGAACATAAGTCTATGCACAATGAAAAGCACGTGTACCTGTCAAGAAGCTATCACTGTAAAAAAGGAAATAGACCAAAACGATTTTGATCACACAAGGAAGCTACTGGTATTCTCAGAACAATGGACTGACCACCCCAAAGCTCAGTAGAAAGTGTAAAAGCCTGCTCATTAAATAGGTTTAACACAACTACTATAAAAATACACCTTAATTTCCAGTCAAAACAGGCATTAAGTACAAGTTATTAATTTTTCAGCATCGTGAAAAAGCCAAAAGCATATATTTAACAGAATTACACAGGAGCCTCAACAACTATAATAAATAGTTTTTGGTGTCCACACTTTGCCTTTATTACAGTTTCAGTTCTTTTCAGAACATCTGCTTTCAGTTTATCAAGGAAATCTGCATGTATATTTTTCTCCAAAGTTCAGTCTTAGAAGTTGGTTGCATTTTCTAATGATCCAAGTAATTTCAGACACATTCAGTGATGTTGCGGTCTGAACTTTGGGATGGTCAGTCCATCATTCTGAGAACACCAGCAGCTTCCTTGTGTGATCAAAATAGTTTTGGTCTATTTCCTTTTAACAGTGGCGACTTCTTGACAGCTACACGTCCTTTTTTTCATAGTGCTGAGTTATTTTCCTTTGACTATCTCCTTCCTTGTACTAGTGAATTGTTTTATGTCTAGTCTTCTCAAAAATACCTCATGAAAATTTTATTAATTGTACTTCATACATGTTTTAGCTGGAAACTATACAAATGAAGGGTGCTCTGACTTTCGCACAGCATCGTATATAATTCTTCTCAAATACCATATCTCCGAAACAAATGAACAGTTACATCATACACACAGCGTGCTATTGATATGGTTTACTTATGAAACCCATGTGCCTTCCCACTAGCAGCTCTGATAAGCATTGAAGTCTAACTGAGCTGTAAATGAAACAGTGCAGGCAAATGATAATGAGCTCCCATGCAAGAGGTGGCAATCGCAGTCTTACTGTATATAGGTCATTAAACTCTGCTGTGGAACTAGCCCGCTTCTGTTATTGATCCTTGCAACACATCTTCTGTTCCTTTTCAAGATTAGCTTTTGTTAGCAAAAGCACATCAGCATCTGCAGCAGCAAGCTGAGTGCAACTTGCACTTGCGTCTGACAGATCTAATACAGTATCCTAGCTGTTGTGTATGTTAATTTAATGAATGTATAATTGGGTCTGAACATCTTGAGAGGGAAATGGAAATAGCTCGCATTCGTTTAAAGGAAGTGCCTGGCAGAGGTCATGCTAACTCATCCCCAAATAAATCATACAAAGGGTGAAATATGCATATGCATGTACATTAATATCCCTATTTACATACCCATATGGACCATGAATTAAATGTCTCTCGGTGGCCATTTACATATTCTGTTCGTGTAACTTGAGGACACATGAAAATGATGTAATTGATTGCAATGGATTGTAGTGATGATAAAGTCCAGGTACCTTCAGATTCAGCCAATCGGAGCCTCTAGATTGTCATTAAAGTAAGCTTCGTTTTCTCTCCCCAGGGAGAGCCAATCACCTTCTGCGAGGAGAGCTTTGTGGCACACCGCTCCAGCACCATGAGGAATTTCCTCGAGATGGCCGTGAACCTGCAGCTCTTCAAGCAGGTATGGCACACGTGATTGAGAAGATCCAGCTTCATTACCTCTTCTTTACCGCACTGCCTCTGGCTTCTGCTTCAGCTAGTATCCGGACACAAGCTTAAGGTTCCTCCTTCGGACTTAACCAAAGCCTTTTCACTGAGTGGTATGTGATTGTTCGAGTAATCAGTTACTGATTAGGACGTGTGTTGACATTGTTATGAAAAGAATGTGATAAAGTGAACAGGCTTCAAAGTAAATGCTTAGAAAGTGCTGGATTAAAAAAAACAGTAATAAATAAAGATATGATTGAGATTAAAAACAAACATGTAAATAGCCCTTGCCTCTCCCCTCCCCCACACCACCTCCCAAGGTCCACTTAAGATATTTGTGTGGGTTTGTGTAAACATTGTTAAACAACAAAAACTATCAAATTATTGTAACTGATTTTTGCAGGACCATTTTATGACCTCTTTTCATCCCTAAAGATTAAACAGGCTGTTCTGTTACTGTACCTTTAGGACTGATATGCAGTCATAAATAGTGAAAATAAGTAAACACGTCCTCTACAAAGAAAACACTTCTGTACATTTTAAGGTACAAATACTGTTAATTTGCTGAATTTAACGCTTTGTGGTGAAAGCTGTGAGTGAAAGCTACATTTTGAAACTTCAACATGTACGTACAACAGTGAACTTTTAATTTAAAACAAAAGTGACAAAAATTCAGTTTTCCATGTTAAAGGCAAAGCAAATTATGCTAGAGATTTGGAATTTTTGATTTTCCATTTATGATAAGAAGATTTTTGAGTTTAAAGTTTCACTAGGTACGTTTTTGCCCAAATGAAAGAAGTAGCATTGCTGAGTCAGGAGACAAAGACACTAACTAAAATATGGTGTACGTGGGTTGTATTTTGTGGGATTTTTGTAGGACCACACCTTTACATACCTTTACATATTAACGTCACAGTTACAGACTAAAAAAAAAGGAAGGTCCAGCTCGATGTTTAGGTGTCAGATTTGCTTTCATCCTCAAAAGACACGTCCTTCACCATGTTTTGACTGATTTCTCTTTTAATAGTCTTTCAGTGCACTCGCAATCATCAGAGTCGTCTGCTCAGGGAAGGGGTCTGAAGCACAACTAACATTATAAAATGTTCTTCCACACATTGCATGCAATTACATATTTCCACCAGAGAGGTCTCCAAATCCCCAGATCTTGCATAGTATGGCTTTACATGAAACCAATCTAAACTGACAGTCTTAAAGGACAGATGGACTGATTGCCATGTTTAGAACTTTAAGAATTTGATCAAAGATTACAGACCATCTCTCCTTCCCTATTTATTGCAGCAATATTTCCCCACTTGCATGTGTTTTTTGCTGTAATAGTCAAAATATTTATTATTCTTTAATATTTACTTTTGCATCATTCATTGGATGTTACAGAAGATGTCATTATTCTCAAAATTATCTTTCAATATAGTCACATTTATTGTCTAAACTCCACTTCCATTAATTATTCATTTCATTTAGAACGAATCATCATTTCTCAGTAAAAGACAGATGCACTGAATTCTATGATTTGGAGTTCGATTAAGAATCTAATTCCTGCTCCCTCACAAAATTAGAGACCATCTCCTTCTATTTATAGGCCTGATAGTGGGTCCCTGTAACCCCCCAACTGAATCGGATAAGCTTTAATTTATCCCCTGGAAAGAGCTGATATGCACTTAATCACTGCCTTTGTCTTAGACGCTTCATCCACATTACTTTTTCTCCAAGATCCAGATAGTGACCACCAGTTCAAAGCCATACGCCCCTCCCATCCGCGCAGTAGCTCGGGGAGAGCCGTTATCTACTGGCCGGCCACGCTGAGAAAGGCCAGTGCCGCCGTGCCCCGTTCTGACCATGAACTGCATCCGCTCGGAGGCCAGCCCTGCCGAGAAACTAGCGGAGGATAGCTGCCAAGAGAATGCGGGGGAAGCCTGTCAGCATCGACCTGCTTTCTGTCTCTGACCCCCCTCCCAACACACACACACACACACACACACACACACACACACACACACACCGCTCTGCTTCTGCTCTGACGCTGCTTCATGTTCACACTGCCTGCGAGAAAGTTTCATGCACTCGTGCACTTCCACACACACACACACACACACACACATCAGTGTGCCCTATTTTAGTTAGCTGGCACCGTTTCACAGCTCTCATCACGTTAACCATTTAGTGCTCTCGTGTAGGATGACACACAAGGTTTTTTTGTGTTTCTAATTGCAGCTTTGTTACGCTATTCTGTATTTTTTATTTATAAAAGTGGTAGCCCATTCTATTCTCAGTACTATGCTTTTGGGCTTTTTTGAGGGAGGTTGTAATAGCATGTGTCTCTCATTACTGTACATAAGGGCATGCATATTTTTTTGCGTTGTGTACTATGACTTGACTGATATATTGTCAGCCAATAATAATGTTCCACTGATTTATCAGTATCACCAAAAACCCCTACTGATAGTGTTGACAGTCTCCACCTGTTCACCTTTATTACAGTAATGACAAGCTGAACTGATAAAGTTGAACACAAAAACCTGTCGACAACACTGAAATTTACAGAATACATCCAAACTGACGTTTTGGCACGACATATAATGTTATAACCAAAATAATACAAAAAAGGCAAGGAAAAAAAACTCAATTATAAGAGCAAAATAAGAAAAGACTTAAAAGGCACTTACTAAAAGCTGAGGATTCTGGGATGCACCATACCCACACTTCAGTATTACTGAATTTTGTGCTGTTTATTTGCCTATAATTGAGTCCTAGTTGAAAGCTGACATTTATCAGTCAGTGAAACACTGTTTAACAAAAATCACTGGCAATTTTATTATCAGTATTACGGCTCTCAAACAATTAAAGTAATTCTGATTGATCACATACCTTTTGTGTAATCACACTTGTCTTATTTGCTCAAGTTGACCCTGAAGAAAAAAATAGTTTTCATTTAAAAAGCAGTGCATTTTTGTATTTTGTTGTAGCTGTATGAGTGGACAAAATGAGCTTCCTCTGAATGTGTATATTACAGTAAGCCAAGGCAAGTTTATTTGTATAGCACCTCTCATACACAGTGGCAATTCAAAGTGCTTCACACAAACACAGAAAAATAAAAGCATTAAATAATAATGCAGCTCATGACATCCTGCAATCTAGCACCTCAGAAAGGCTTTTGCAAAGATACCTACAAAGGCATAATTAAAAGAAAGTAGAAAGTAGTAAAAACATAAAAGAGAAAAATATTAAAAAAAAAAAAAAAGAGAGGCCCAAATATTTACAAAGAAGTTCCCAGCACCCTAAGTGAGGAAGTAATGCAATAGCATTCATTGAACACAGTGTTCACATAGAGTTGAACATGTACATCACCAAACGTCACTGAATGTGTTTGGGATTACTCAAATTGTGAAAAGCAGAATGTGCAACCAACTTCTAAGACTGAACTTTGGAGGGGTGGAAAAATATCCCTGCAGATTTCTTTGAACTGAAATTGAGTCTCCTGGAAAGAATGGAAGCTTGTAAGGAAGACAAAGGGCTAACACTAAATACTGAAACATATTATGTTTAGTTGTTGAGGCATCTGTGTTCTGTTCATGTGTTTTTCTGCTTTTTTTTCCTGACACTGAAAACTCGAGTTTTGCACAGTATTGTATATTACAGTATATATGCAGTCAGTGGATCCAATTCGTCTGTGAATGTTAGCTTCTTGCTCTCTCAAGAAGAACTTTTCTTTCTACTTTGCTGTTACTTTTGTTAGTTTGCTGCTCATTGATGCAACAAGGTGTCAAAGATATTGCTTTAAGATATTTAAAAGAGATATATTTGAAAGAGAGGGCTACAATTGCAGATTCTATCTAAGCAACACATATGACACAAGTGTCTGGGTTTCAGCCTGTACTTCTACAGATGGTTCGAACTAGGGGAGTTTTTATGGCATTAAAAAAGTACAGGCGTTAATAATTTGGTGTGTTAACATGTTAACTTTGACAGCCCTAATATTAACATTATATCTGTGTTATTATCACAATTTGTAAGTCAGGAAAATCTAAAAACGATGAGTCATATTGGTCGGGCCCTGTTGTGTTCATTATACCTCATTATACCTCTAATAACTCAGTCATACCTGCTTCATGTTTGCAATCACCAAATAACCTTTCATTTTGTCACATTGTAATGAGCCCATTATTATGACCAGTTGATTTGAATATAGACAACGACTATAATTAATGTACCCTGATCACTGGTTCTGCCAAGATAAACAAACACAGACCAAAAAAAAAAGCCATTGCTGGAGCTGTGTGTGCGGACACTGGAAGCAAGTAGCCAGTTAAGAGAACAGAGGCGCAGTGTGTGTAATGTGATCCTGAAGGAAGGGGATAAGTGGGGGATTTGGCTGGGTGCTAATTTGGTCTGATTATGTGCTCTAATTAGGGGGTCAGACAGCGCAGGCTGAGCCCTGTGCTCTCGTCACTCATTAAAGTTGCTGTAATGAAGTTAGCCTCCATCAGCGCCCAACGCAAAGCCTTGAACCCCAGAGATGGCTTTACCTTTTACTGTGGAAAGCTACACACATTCTACTCATGCACCTTTTACAGTGGTTCTTCAGCGCCGCTCGCTACTTTTAAAGCACTCATGCAAAATGCATTCAGCAATAATTTGTTCTGCTCTGCTCAGTAGTAGTAAAGCTTTGTAAAATAGTTTTTTTCGCATCATTAATGGCATATTGCAAAGAATATTTTCAGTATTGTCATGTTTATTGTCTGAGCCCCGTTGCTGGACTGGCACTAATGGGCAAATTTATTGGATGCTGTTTTATAACCTTTACGTGACAAGGGAGGAAATTGAGTTTCCCACAAAGCATTGCATGTGCAACATACCCGTCTGAGATGTTAATCCTTCACCTGACGTGAATTATAGAAAACGCACACGTGCGCACAAGCGAATGTGTCCGGAACAGACTGGATGGAATTGCTGCAGTAGTGTTCCCCCTTCTCTCTCTCTACCTCGCTTTGCCTCTCTCTCTTTTAATAACTCTGATACTCTGATTTATGGTTGCAGTTCATTGATGGCAGACTGGCCAAATTAAATGCAGGAAGAGGTTTCACAGACGTCTTTGAGGAGGAGATCACAGAGGGGGGCTTCTGTGGAAGTGAGTGGCATTTCTCTGTTTGGAGGTGGAAAAAGAAGTGGAAAAAATAGGCAGCAGCTTTTTCCTTTTGAAATAGTTTAAAAAAAAATGACAAACTACATTATAAGATACAAATTAGAGGCCGAAATAAAAAAAAAAATCACAGGCCTGAAAGTATTGTGAAGGCTCACTAACTCTATCTTTACAGTTTCCAAGATTGCAGGCTTTTTTAGGTCCATTTGCTCACGTTTGGTTTTGTATGTGTGGATGACAGCCTTTTCATGCCCCATTGTTTCTCAGGTAATTCAAGGTCCTATCAACAGTGGATGCACACGGTGAAGGTAAGCAGCAGTTTTTGATTCAAATTTTCGTTTAATGAATATTCAATTCCACCTGAATGATTGAGCCTGATTGCTGAATCGTGCTTATTGTCTCTCGCTGGTTAAACAAGCATATCCAATTGCTCTTGAAGCGTGCGCAAAGTCCGGAAAAAAACGCGGCGGAAAAGAAGCGGAAGGCAGGGAACACACGCATGCGGGACGGTTGAGATGTTGAGACAGCGTTGATATGATGTGACAGCCAGTCATCTGAGATGACACATGGATTCTGGCAGGAAACACAGCCATTACTCAATAGATTGAAGGAGAGAAAAGCCCCCCCCACCCACCCGTATGCTTCGTTCCTCTCTTTTGCCCGCCACCCATCAGCCCGTGCCGAATTAGTTCTCCGGAGTGCCTTTTTCAAAAGGTTTCCTTTAAAGTTCACATCATCTGACTGACACAAATCCATAAGCGGGGCCTTCACCTCCATCCTGCTGGTCGAGTGTTTGGAATTGAAGCACTAGTGTTAGTGCGAGACCATTTTAGCTGTTTAGCGTGTTAGTCCAGCGCTGCTCTGCTGCTGCAATCTCTCAGAAGAGAGAAAGGGATGGACTAAGATAAGAGCGAGGGTATTTCAGAAAAGCAGGATTTCTTAATAAACTGGAAAATTAGTAGTAGAAGTTATGGAGGCATTTGCAACAGCAGTAAAAATAAATTAATAATAATAAGATGTAGTGATGCCATAGAAGAACCCCTTTTGGTTCCCTAAAGAACACAAAATTTGTAAATTTCTTCGAGATGAGAGAGTGGTGTCTTAATTCAATATATATATATATATTTTTTTTTTTTTTGATACAGTAAAAATAGAATGGCTGAAAATGTGCCTTACATTAACTAGGGTTCAAGCACACAGTGTGAGCTGTTGCTTTTGCTCGGATTTGTCTTCTTCTTCTTCGTATTGTTGTTGTTGTTATTATTGTTATTATTATTATTATCATTATCTTTATTGTTATTATTATCTTTTATTGTTATCATTATTATTATTATTCTTTTTCTCCTGATAAACTTGTTGTGGAAAGAGACCGTAAGTCTAAGAGGCACCAAACTTGGTAGGTAGGTGTAGTTTGTGTGCCTCTAGCCAGACAACAAAAATTACCCTGATTAGCCAAAGGGGGAGCTATAGCACAGCAAAACATGTTTTGCCTCATAACTCCTAATCCAATTGTTTTCAGTTTACTAGAGCATTCAACATTCAAGTAAATAATTAAGCAATAGAACACAAGAGGGAGTGTGTTGTCATGAAATAACATCACCAGCCGATGGTGAGATCATCATAGCCGTAAGAAATGAATAAATTGGGCCATGAACGTGGCATTTAATATGTTTTAATGTTAGCAATTCCTTCTGCCAAATTATAGTTCCTTAACAAACAGCTTGTTGCTACGTCAGAGTAACGAGCTCCGCTCACTCGCTGCACAGCCGGCAGTTCGTTCTTCAGCTCCTCACACAGACCAGCTAACAGTTTGGGAATTTAGTGTAGTCTCATCTTCAGAGTCCGACCAAATCGGCTGTAGATCAAATGTAATCTTAAAAGTATCCATTTTCTCTTTGTGCACAAAGTAAGAAGGAAAAAACGTTCAAATGGCTTGAGCGTCTCCTACAGCTGTCAAAGTCATTGCTTAGCAACAGCGTCTCAGCGGAGTGATGCAGTGTTTGTGAAAAAAAGTTAGAACGCTTCTCAGCCAGTCAGCTTGTGTGGCCGGAACTAACTGTTGTATAATTTTAGATAAAAGCTGTACTTTTATAGTGTTCTGATCTGTTGCTTTAGCCATCAGCTAATATGTTAGCCCTGAGCTAACACACTAGCCACAAGCTAACATGCCAGTCATGAAACAACAGCCATGGTTGAACAAGAGGTTTGTGAGCATGAAGAACCTTTTAAAGGTTTAAAGAATCTTCACATAATATAAGGGTTCTTACAGAACCTTACAGAAATTTCAATTTAAGATTTTTTTTTAACCTTTTAAATTTAAAAATGCTCTTTCTCACACATTGTATTTACAGATATGAATCTATAAAGAACCATTCATTGAAAGTTAAGATGAAATGTTTTAGCATTTGTGTAGCTATACAAGCTATTAAAATAGAACAAGATTGTTAATGCATCGTTTAGTGTCATGTATGACCAAGTTGTCCTGTATATTCTAATTTTGATCTCAGAAGCATGCAGACTTTATGGGACCTGCCAGCTGCCCTTATTCAAGAAAAAACACCCAGAACTAGTATTATCAATGCAGTAGTACTTCATTTAGAACATTAAGCAGACCAGCACTTGATCTTAAAACATGATTTGGAATGAATTGTCAGACGTTCTCAAATGAATAAAAGTGCTAATCTATTACGAGTTTTAAAAACCAACAAAAGAATCTGAAAAATCAGTTCTAGCAGAAACAGGCAGCCAGTGAAATGATGGTGTAAAAACAGGTGCTATATGTTTGAAAAGTCTGGTGAAACAACTTTATCACTGTGCACAAAAGCTGTGGAACTTTACCATTATATATTCATCAGGCATGTACCATTATAAACAACTAAAACATTATTTATTTAGAATATAATGGCAATTTTGTCATAGATATATTGTGTTTTATTGATGATATCCATTTATGCTAATCTTCTTTATTTTTTGTTTTTGTTTTACTTTGATATTTAATTTTTATTTCATTTCTTCCGTTTTTCTTCTTTTTTTCTTAGTAATGCTACTTAAGTTCTTATGCTATTGTTTTTGCTGCTTTATGATTTTATGCTATGAAGCACTTTGAGCTACATTTTATGCATTAAAGGTACTTTATTAATAAAGTTATTATTAGTAGTAGTAGCTGTATCCTGACTAATGGAAAAGAATCAGAAACTGTAACTGCATGAACGAGACGGTAGTTGATTAAAAAAAAATATGTACGTTTTGGTTGTGCAAGTAGTTGAACAGCTAACTTACTAAACAAGCTGAAATCCAACACCCAGACTAGGTTTCGGTGGACAGGCTTGACTTTGGGCTTAAATTATTCTGTTTATGGAGAAATCCTGCTTTATGAAAAAGCCCACAGTGTGTGGTAGACCAGTGTACACCACACTGCATACTGCTGTGACTGAAATATGACCACTGCATTTGTGGACAAGCACTCTCTCGGGAGCAGACCTATTTAATATTTAGTTTTAATGGCGTCAAGCGAGTTTTTGGTACAATTTCTCGTACATTAGGGGCACTGTCATTGAAGTTTTGGCGCAGGACACAAGCCGTTTATTTACCTGCTAACGATTTTGGAGAGCGTGGCCAGCTGTGTTTGTTTGTACGTCATATACATATCCAATAAATTACATTTTTCAGTAATTTTTTGTTAAAGTTTTGTTCAGTCAGCAAAAGTAATGATGTTGGTAAGGAATTCCTTATTACTCATTCAATGATTCTCTTTTTTTCTGCATAGAGAGGAGTGAATAAAGCCAGTCCAGCAGTGAAATCAGCATACAAGATTGTAAGTTTTTGAACTGTGGTGAAATTTCAAGCTAGCATTTTTTTCCAGTAAAGCGCTTCTGTTCTCTAATATGGTATGTCATTTATTGCACTGTAAATTGCTCTGTTCTGACTGTGCTCTGTTACTTCTGCGCTCTTCAAGGGTCTTATTAGTGTTATCAAGATTCATGTGATGTTGAATTGCTATGGAGTTTCTCATGGTGGCCAAAAAAATCACCATTTTATTGAACAACAATGCGTGTTTTTCCATGTTTCTTCCTTTTTTTCCTTGGAAGGCCAAAGTTCATGCAAAAAAAGGCCTGCGGGGTGTGAAGGACAAGATTAGACAGAAGGTAAGTCACTCAAATATTCTGATTTCCACACACCTGCACTGCTTAACATAGCACCGATAGTTGAGCGCAGGGTGCGAGCTCAGGGTTTAAAATGGGCTTATGAAACCTGCTTAGCACTTTGTTCAGGAGTATACATTTTTAACAAGTCTGCCTCTGGCGATGGGCTGTCATGTCATACCCTCGCTCGGAGATGCCCCTTTATATTTTTTGCATATTTCATCAATGAGTGAGTGATTTGTTCAAAGCCAGCGTAACGAGGTGTGTGTTTCTATAACGCTGATGGCTTTGATAAGGCAATTGTGACATGAACTGTCAGGCCATGGTGATCCTGGTCCACCGAGGATTCTTTCACATCTGATGCAAATTTCCTATTGGTGCCTTCTTTGATTTAGCTAAAACAAAACAGACTGTCACAAGATGGAAAAGTCTGGATGATGGACGGTGGGTGTGTGCCTCTGCAGGAATATCTGCATATGCAAATATGGAAATATAGAGGACATGGGATTCCTAACAACAGGGCAAGACCCAGTAGACCACCAAAACTCTCCCCATCAGATAAACAGCACTTAAAGCTTTCATCTTTGAGAGAGAGAAGAAGATCGAGAACATCCACAGGTGTTTCTGTCCATCCTTCCACTGTGAGAAGACAGCTGAACACTATGAGTCTGAAAGGATGTGTAGGTGTTAAGAAGCTCTTACTAAGAAAATGAGATATTTGGAAAACTTGCAAATCAAGCAAAGAAGCTGCTGGGGTTCTCAGAACAATGACTGTTGAATGTGTTTGGGATCACTTTGATCATGTCAACCAACTTTTAAGACTGAACTTTGGTAGAGTGGGAAAATGGCTGCAGATTTCTTTGGAAAGCTGAAAACAAGTCTCTCAAAAAGAATAGAATCTGTAATAAAGACAAAGGATTGACACACACAAATGATATTACATTTAGCTCTGTCATTTTCTGTTAAACATGTTTATTGCTTTTTTTTTAATTTTTGGATAATTTTACATGGCTGTTTTGAGTAGTAATTAGATAAATGAAGGGTGGTCTGTGACTTTTATACAGTATTGTACAGTGTTAAAAATAAAGGTTCTGTGCAGGGAAGTCTTTTGTTCATCATGGTACAAACAATGTAAATGTTCTCTCAAAGGTACAACAGAGGGTTTGTACTTTTTCATAACCTGAAGTTTTAAAACAGAGCAATAAAATAAAAAGCCTGGAGATGAAACGGGGTGTGTTGAGTCAATACAACGTAGAAAATATCATTTCAGTGGATTATGGTACAGTTATGTTCCCTGACTAAAGGTACTGAGATGTACCCTTGAGGGTACCACCCCAGTGACAAGAGGGCTACTGCCCTAGGGACAATTTTGTACCTTTTTTTCCGAGAATGTAGATTGGTCACGAGGGGACAAATCCTTGGTTTTACAAAAATATAAGCAAAATAAATAGCAAAATATTGTCCAGTCTTATTAATTGGAAGTTGCCAAATTTGTAGGCTTTTGTTTATGCATAAACTTCTCAACTGTTGCTGGTATTAATCACTGGATTGTGCATGATTAAATGCATGATCAATGCCATCAACAAAATATTCTTCCGTTTTTTTTAATTGCACAACTACAAAGGATTTAGTTGTGCACATACGTGTATGCGTTCAGGAAAAAAGGTATTGTACAGGTAACTACTTGCCCCACTCCCCCAAATATAAGCAGTATAAACACACTTTGGAAGATACAACTTGATCCTTAAGGTCTGGTTCAGTATATTAAATTTAAATAGTTTTAAATTATACTATGAATATGCATCATAGTATCATGAGGCTTTGTTTCAGTTACCATGTCAATTATATTCAACCTTTGTCTATGGCGCTTTATGCTTATTCATTCTCTCTCTCTCTCTCTCTCTCTCTCTCTCTCTCTCTCCCCCTCTCCCCCTCTCCCTCTCTCTGCCTCTCTGCAGGACACTGAAGACGTGTATGGTCCATACTGTGCAGGTTCTCCCACCAGCACTAAAAGCCTCTCACCCAAGAGGCTTCAGAAGCGAAGGGTGAGTGTGTACGCATGCAGCTCAGCACACACACACACACGCACAGTCGATGTGTTTTCGGACAGTCCGGCTCTTGAAAGCGATCGCCCATTTGCACACCAGTAAGTCTGAGGCGATGTGAGGCTGCGTGACTGACAGCTGTGGCTGCTGCGGCCGTGTGGAGTGGATGTGTGGTGTGTGAGGCTCAGTGATGTGTTGCCAAGCCTAGGCAGGGAGGCTGCGCGCCCCCCCTGCAGACACAGGAGGTGGCCTGGATTCCAACCACTCTCTTTCCTGCCTCCATTTCACACTCAAATAGGCCACAGGATAACCCACCGGCTCTGCGCTCATGATATTTTACACTGCCAGAATTTTTTAAGGGTCGATGGTTTTGATTGATTTATTTTTTAGATTTTTTTTAATTAATGGAAATTTGTTCATAGTTTTGTAGAAGTCTCTTGCAGAATGCACTGTCCAGCATCCTCAAGAGAAACACTAAAACAAACCACACAGGTACATTAATTATTAGAATTAGATTTAAAATTGTGTAGCCTCCTTTGTGTAGACTCTGCATGTCTCCATGAGGCTTAGAATCCTGTTATGTTTTAGCTTGTTTAATCCTGATATGTTTAAACCTGTTTGCATTCCACATGCATAGATGCAGCTGTTATTTTACAGTAACAGTCCAATCTAAAAAAGCTAGTGTTGCTAAAAATGATGGTAACGGAAGGGCTGCATACTAGCATTAAGGAAATGACATCATGAAAATTGATGCTCCTGGATTCTGGATTCCGTTTGCTTTTATGCCACATTAGCATGTTAAGTCAAGCTTATTTGAATGCAGCTCTTTTTTTTTTTAGGGCGCACGATCAGAATCGGCAAAAATCGGTCGTAAAATGTTAAACAGGCAACCATTTTTTTATTCATTTAAATATTTAAAATGCCAGTTTTGCCAATTAAAGAGCAAGTATTGTTATTTATGTTGGACCTGAAAATGAATGCTAGTGTGCTATTGTGTTTTGTGTGTTCATTTAGCCCAGACAATGTGATATATTTAAAAAACATAATAATAAAACCTGGCTAAAATCATCTGTAGGGCACTTTGGGTGTAAAGAAATGGTAATCTGAATCAGCCACTCAAAATTCAGTGCTCCCTAATCTTACAACTGAGTGTTCTAATCAGTGTGTTTGTGTGTCCATGTCTATGCCCACTGTGCATCTGTCTCTCTGTCAATCTCTCTGTCTGTCTGTCAGCGTTGGCATTAGGTATTGACTGATTCCTTAGGGATCAGTCAGCCGCCATTTCCACCCCTGTTCCCTCTCAAAGACACACATACTCTGCGACTCTCACTCATGCAGTGTGGCTAGGAGCCTTTGGGACTCCAGTGCTGTGCTGGCTGCATTGATCCGCTCCTTCATCCTTCCTCTCCTCTTCCTCACTACTCCCCGCCACTCCCCTTGCCCTCCACCCAAGTGTCACTGCTGAGCCTAACACTCATATAGTATTGGAAATGTATCTGTTTTTTTTTATTACCAAGATTAATTTCTCAGTGCCCATATTCACTGCTTTTAATCCGGGTCAGTGGAAACAACCCTTATTATCTATGGTTTGACTTCGTTGCCTGAAACTCTCCTTCACTAGCAAAACTGGCACATGAACTGCATCATTGGGTTCACTTTGTTTTCACTGCATTTGCAGCTCATTTTCCGAAGTCTTTTTTTTCTTCAGTATGCCCAAGAAGAGGCCACATCTTCCGCTCCATAAAAAACAGCATCTGCAAGTCAGCAGTTTCTGAATCAGTTTCCTGTGGTATCATTAAAATGCCATGTTTTCTCTGCCTATTTTATGCAAAGCTTTTGCATACACATATTCACACATCCTGCTGAAGCATATAGATACACAAACCAGCTGTTAGTGGACATCAGAGACTTTATGAATTTCTGCACTAGGGCAATACAATGTATCGTTTGTTAATCATTATTGCAGTATTGGTCTTTGCAGTTACTGATATCGCAGAAGGCTACGATTATGCGCAGTGCAAACATCCCCACAAATCAGTTTTCCAGGTGAACATTCTGTTAAGGATCAATGTATTTATGCAGAGGTGGAGCCAGCTGGAGGGATGGGGAGGTTGAGGATATGATTATTCTTAACAGAATTCTGGTTGGTGTGAATGCAACTGCAGTGTTATAAATAACAGAATAGTACTTGCTGAGCGGATTTGAGGTCCGGTACAGAACGTGACTACATAGCAAGGACACCAGACTGTCATTTATAACACTGAAAGGAGAAAAGATGAGAGAGAGCTCACTTTAACTAAACTCAGTTACACTTACTTTTTTCTTTGTCATCCAACAACTTCAAACTTGAATGACCAAATGGAAAGTGACCATCAAAATGAGAGGAAGAAAGAGTTTGACATGAAGAAAATGACCATGCAAAAAAGTCAGAAACATGAGATGGAGGGTGAGGAAACATTAAACTGAATGAGAGACAGCAGGGCGGTAGGCTGTCTAGCAATAATAATGAGGGAGATTAATGTTTTGTTTAATGATAGAGATGATGGTGCGAGTGGACTGTCATTTATGCTAATGACTAATAATGTTTTTAGCCTAGCAGTAAATATTTCAGTCAAAATAATGCAGGCGAATCTTAAACCATGTCATATTATTGATTTAGCTGTGTTTTAATACATTACAAGCCATGTCACAATTACTATATATATCAATGTAATTACAGTACTAGTATTGTGCCCATATTGCGCATGCCTGCACTGTATGAAGAAAAGAACCTCAAATATCTCTCTTAGACTCGATTGAAATAACAAATTAATCCAAAATCTGATGTAATGGTCAGCGCTACTGAAAAATGTCATACAGGCAGTGCGGTGTTTAATGTCCTGCTCTTGTGTTCACCCACAGTCCCACCTACACTCATGCTGGAGAAGGGCAGCGGGCAGAGGATCTGATCTCGCCTCTGTCTGGCCTCTGCCGCCGTCACCGACTCTTCTCCACTCTTTTAATTAGCGTGGCTATTCGCTGCGTCGCCGTTGTCTGGAAGGCCGTGGAGGGGGGGTAGCGGTATTAAATAAGCAATACAAAAAGGTGTAGAGACAGAGGTCTTCCAATTAGGGCCTTTCAGAGGGAGGCCTGGACCCCCTCCCTGCTCTGCTCCACAGTAACGGGCCCCAGGGGACTGTACACACACACACACACACACACATACATACATACATACACACACATACACACTCAGGATGCCGTATCCTACACGGTGAGTGTGTTTTTGTGCATGGTGGACATGGCTGACACAAAGCCCCCCTGCACGATCAATGCCTAAATCAATCAGCAGCGCAAAAGATCTTCAAAGAAAAGACCAAACCAGGACAGGCCAAGAGCGGCGTAGCACTAGGCCAACACATCTTCCAATACAGCACACTCTTTCTTCACTGAAGAACACACAGCAACCACTCATTAAGTTAACGACATCAGGCATGATTCTGCTGTTCCTGCTAGATTTCTCAGTTTGGGTTTTGGTCCAGTATTTATTCTAACTGTTCCAATACATCTTAAATTACTTACAAGTTATTCGAAAAAAGACATTCACATTTTAGGATCATGTGTGACCAAGTTTTGATGTATTTTCTAGTCTTGATCTCACTGGCGTTAACGGAACCTGTGAATTGCTATTTTGTAAATCAGTTTTACTTGCGCAAAGAGCCAAAATAGCATTATCAATGCAGAAACCGTTTCTGGGTAATGGAAAACTGTAGATTCATTAATGCATTGATAGTGCAAAAAAATATGTGCCATCTGGCCAAGATGACTCAACTCCAATTTGAGTCACACTTGAGTCACATGTTGACTGACTCTGAACTCAACTTGAATTCGTCCTTAAATGACTCGGAGTTCGGGCTCCATTAAAGGCTTTCAGCCTGAGATAAAACGCAACAAAACCAATATAACTAGGATTTATAACTTTAATGCAGTAAATTAATAAAACTTGTCATTTTCAACCTTAGATGTCTTTGCATGTCTGTTAGTCTGCGGTTATGTGCCGTTGTTACTGCAGTGTCATTCTCCAGCAGCCAACAACAGCACGAAGTTCGACACTAATTCAAATGAGAGAATATAGAACAGCCTTCAGTTTGATGGACAAATGGAGCTTTATATGCAGTTAGTGTGATGTTTAAAGGAAAGAGGCAAAGCAACTTGAAACATTTGGCTAGGATTTAGAGAGTTGGCACCCCAGTGATTCGAGACTCGTCTCAGACTTGCATTCCAGTGACTCGGGACTCAACTCAAACTTGCACTCCAGTGACTTGAGACTCAACTTGGACTCGCACGCCAGTAATTTGAGGCACGACTCTGACTCACATTCCAGTGACTCGAGTCTCGACTCGGACTTGCATTTCAGTAACTCAACGCTGACTCACACCCCAGAGACCCGAGTTACTTACATGGCACCCCAGTGACTTGACTTGTCTTGGACTCGCACCCTATTGACTCGAGACTTGTCTTGAACTCGCATCCCAGAGACTCAACTTTGACTCACGCCTTGAGACTGGAGAGTGACCTCGGACTTGCACCTCAAAGAATTGAGACTCTGATTCGTTCCCCAGTGACTTGAGACTCCACTCTAACTTGCACCCCAGAGCCTCAAGGCTCGACTTGCATACTTCAAGAAGTACAGCTGGATATAGCTAAATTCTTTTAGCAAATCCCCGTTATTGTAACCAAACCTACCAAATGGTGTCTCTGAACGCTCTTGAGTTTAATCCGCATAAATATAATCTAATATAAGTGATTTTGGGCCATCTCCGTTGGTCTGTTCATTCTGAAATGTCCACACAGTGTGAATGGCAGCTGTGGTTTTCAAGTAATGAAGTCATAAGGTTTTAATGCCCACAATAATATATAATTTTCCTTTTCATCACAACTGTAGATGCAGTGATTAAGTGCAGTACTGAGGGAGGTGAGGCAGGAGAGGTATCCGGGGCAAGCCCGTGTGCTGGTGAGAGGCAGGCTTGGGTGTCAGTGGCACAGCCTGAGGTGAAATGCAACTGATTCCTGCGCATCTGCATACTTACTGCTCTTACTGTTCATTCCAACTGAATGAAGCTATGGCTGTATGTGTAAGTGTGTTTATGATGTGTGTGGCCAGCTCCTCTGAGTGTCACAGCCTCTGGGGAAGGACTGCACACACACATGCGCACACACACACACACACTGAATGAGACAGGCAGATGGATCCCCCCTCAGCCAGGCCAGTTGAGCAGCTCTGCATATTAAAGAAAGCCCAGAAAGCCCTGTTCAAGTAGTGTATAATTCATAGACATCTCTGCTGCAGCTCCTAGGCCTCCACCTTCATTTCCATACCGCTTCATGCACTGACCATATTATAACAGTGCTGTTGCCATTTAATATCGCATATGATATCATCCTCATCCTGAAATGACTCAAACAAGAGAATGCTTGATCTGTGGCACTTGACCCAGTCTAAAGTAAAACTGAAAAGAAATGCTGATGATTTGTTTTTATGTTCATCTTTTTTCAGACTTTGAATCTAATTGAGCGTTTGAAATCTCAAAGCCATCATGTAAGTGTCTCGGTGGAAAAACTACTTGCGATGGTGTTCCTTGCCGTGTGCATGCTGAGAGGTTTTGTATTAACCTGAGATTTAGATTTAGGAGCATTTCATCTACATCAGCCACAATTTTATCTCCATGCTGGCTGATGCCTATTTGTATGGCTATGTATATGTGTGTGTGTGTGTGTGTGTGTGTGTAGGTACAGTACTGTGCAAATGTCTTATTTTTGAAATTGTACAGTTTATAATTGTTTACTATTTATCTTGTCAGTAAGTGTTTTTGTCTGTAAAGACGCTATGTACGGTAACTTAGAGGAAGACCCCAAGGTAGAACCTCCCCTCCACTTATTTTCTCACCAGGTCGAATAATGGGGTCATATATAATTTCAGCATGTTTATTGAATGGCTGTGGTCTAATTTATACTTTATTTATACTATTTTAATTTCATCTTGACCACATCTCTGAAAATTATTGCCCCAGAAGCTTTTTGGGGTCAGTTGATGTAATTGTTGTCATTGGATAGTACTGATCTGTGCATTTATATTAAGTTGTACATGGAAAATTAGTCAAAAGTCTGCAATTGTAGGGGTTTTGCAGAGAACGATGCATTTGGTTTTTAGAATTTTTTTTTCCTTTTGAAGTGAAAATGTGAAATTAGACTTTTGGGGTAGGAAGTCTCCTTAGACACGGACCAAAACACTCCCCCACACTCCTTCACACTCCCCCAGAAATAATAGTTCGATTTTCCCTAAAAAGTCAGAGTTGCTAACTATTAGCTTTGGGTTGGCTATCTAGCATTAGCATTAAACTTGATTGTTGCTTTGTTTAAATTATTATTGCTTTTTATTGATGCCATACTAGTAATAATAATAAGAATATTAGTAAAATTGATATTTCAAATGTTTAAATTTTACTGTCATTTGTTTAATTTAGAGCTCATTAAAATTAAGTGGAATCATTACCAAATGAATTGATAAGGGCTTCAGTTTCATTTTAAAATGTAATATTTTTCGTGTTTCTGATTTTCTTTTAAAGATTTAAAGACTAGAATTTTTTTGTCACAGAATTTATGTTTTTTCATAACTGATGGAAGATCTACTAAGGGGGCTTCTTACCCCAGGTACGGCTAAGATGTTCTTTTTTTGTTTTGGTGGTTTTTTCAATTGCAAGACCTAATAGATATCCTAAGCGACTGCTTATACCTTATAGCAAGTTACAGCTTTCAAATAGTATTAGAATAAAAACAAATATACACACATTAAATAAAATGTAACTTTGTTGTTCAAAAAAGTTAAAATCTTTTCAACATAGAACACAGGTTTGGTTTCTGACATCTCACTCTAGCCATCACAGTTTAATGAAGGCTTGATTGACGATGATGTACTGGATGGAAGCTGTGAATACTGATCTTCTTTAAAAAGTGGAAATGGATAAGCTTACACACATCAAATCACGTGTTTATTTGTTTATTTGTTGTTTGGGCTTTTTTTTAAACAAATAAATGCTCACTGCCAACAGAACTGGTTTTACATATAATTTTCTAAGATGGTCCAAGACTTTCGCACAGTACTGTAATGTATATGCCTACGTGTGTGTGTGTGTGTGTGTGTGTGTGTGTGTGTGTGTGTGTGTGTGTGTGTGTCAGCCCACTGTGACACTTCATGAGTCTGGAGCACTGCCAGTGTTGGGATGGATTTGTTGGGTGTCAAAAAACATTGACATACAAATAGAGAAAGCGCTCTTGGCTAGTGGGCAGCTTTGCAAACAGGAGAAAGCAGCACATCTGCATGGCTGTGATGAGACTGAACGCATTGCCTTGTATTGCAGTCTAGGGGATCCACAGTGGGAGGCAGGTTTTGGACCGGGTGCAACCCGGCCTCCTTTAGGACGGGCAAGTGCACCTCTGCTGTAACCAAAGTGCCATCTACTGGACGCTTCTAAGCAGTGCGCACGCGTTTATGCTCAGCGAGACTTGGCTTTTGAAAGCGAGATGCACCGAAGCGCCTCCCTCTGATATTCTTGAAAGCGTCTTTCAGCCGGAGCCAGTTGGAGCAGGCAGGACGGCGGGTCTTGCCTGAAACGAGGGTTCCAGGCTTTGTTTCAGGGGAGGGGGGCCTCGCTCGAGCGCCTCGGCAGATGCTGGCTGCGGTTCGGCCTCTGAGGCGCTGGGGTTTTGTTTTGCGTTTTCCAGGCAATGTCTTCTTCCCTTCCAAACGCTGCCAAGCTGATGAGATCAGTGGCCGGACTGAAATAGCATGTGAAATGCATAATGCACGTCTCACTATTAAACTGGCAAGAGCATTGGCTGCAGTGGAAAGGCCTGTAACTGTTTTGGACAACATAGCCTATATGGAAATGCATACACACACACCCCATGAAAAGACATTTGATGGTGAGCAAAATGAAATGAATTCTCTGTCAAGTCTTGATGAACTCAGTGCACATGTCAATTCCTTAGACACATGCAAATATAAGCAATAGTATATATTCTGAAATTTAAAGGGCCCATATCAAGGATAACAAATTTTTGTGGATTTTATTAAATAAAAGTTTGTTGTAGTATGTAAACTTTGTTAAACTTTCAGAACATGCCACACTCCCGAATCTGTACTGTCTAAAATCAGAAACTAAGCCCGTTTTGGTGGATATATCCACCTATGCAGCCTATAGCAAATCAGTCCCATCTACCTCACGCTGAAGTTATAAGAACTGATTTTTTAGTTTAAGACACAATATGGTCAGACAGTCAGAACAGACATTCTTTACATACCTCAGACAAATTACATTTACATTTATTAGACATGTAAAAATGAGTGATTAGGTACATAAAAGAATGACTGTTTTTGGTACATAAATTTATAATTGGACCTCTGAAGGGAGAAAATAAAACACACAAAAAATTATAATATGGGCTCTTTAAATTATATCACCAAACCTCTTTTACTGATACATGCATCAGAATCTATAGTTCTACAGTTGAAGTGTCTTAGATCTGGAGTGGAAAGCTGGTCTGTATGGTAATCTCTGCATTAACTCAGACTAAAGACAGCTTCTTTTTTTCTAGCAGCACTTTTAAATGTAGGACCTGACCTGTAGCAGCTCTAAATCAGCAGTCCTTTCTGATTTAGAGCATGTGTAACAGAATAAAATAGGCACATGTGTATTTTGTCTCTGCTTCCAAACTAGTGGTTTTGGCCAGGCTCAGTCCAATGGCTTAAACGATTTTTTCATTCTTTTATTTCATACGCTGTTTCTTTTCTTGGCCTCTTTGAGCGCTCTGAATATAACCACGGAAAGTATGAAAGATGAAATGAGCGGGTAATCTGTAAGCTTTATTTTATTTTGGTATTTTTGCCCAGGTCAGTGATCGGCGCCTTAAGTTTAAGGACAGGTTTCTGTGACTTCTGTGACAAACACACACAAACCAGCCCCCAATTTCTTCTCCATCTTTGCCTTTGTTTCTAAGGAAACATAGCCATACCTTTGCGGAAGCTGTAAAACAACGAATTAGCCTTAACACATTGTGCGCACACAGACTGACAGTGATCTTGTGAAAGGTGTAGATTTATTTGGACTAATTAATGTGGAGCATTGTGCAAGGCTGATGGGAAATGATTGTGGATGGTGTATGTGTACTGATCGCTGCCATGTGCAGGAAGGTGTGGTGGTGTGGCTCTGAGCTGTGGGCCTGGTGTTGCTGTTCTGAGGGGGGAAAAAAGGCAAGAGCTCCACTGTACTCACCTTGTTTTAATAAACACCTCTGCTTACAGAGCGAGTGGGGGAGGCCATTGCACACCACGCCCTGCTGCCTAACGGAACGGGCTAAGTGACTGCAAACAGTCAGAGCAGCTGCCAGTGGAGCAAAATCCCAGCCGCCAAGGCTCATAGTTCGAACAAGTTTAGACCCTTTGAGACTGAAAGCCAGGCTGCACAATATAGTATTTGTTTATGGTTATCGCAACATTGGCTTTTTCAGTACTGCTATTGCAGAAGGCTGCCATACGCAAAAAAGCCGTCTAACCCAGATTCCCAAATTTTGTGTGTCTGCTGGACAGAGTGTTTCCCCTAGATTTTGTTTTTTTTTCCAGGACAGGTGGTAGATGCTTCACAGCTAAAAGGCTTATATTGTGTCTTTAAATGTGCGGGAGCCAGGGTAGTATCATTATTATTTTTTATGTATTGTAATAAACAGTACTGTGCAAAAGGTTTTAGGCACCTAAATACATTGTTCAGAAACATTTATTCTGGCAGCACATGTTTTTTTTTCTTGTAAAACACAATATATCAATATGATTTATATCAATATATCATTTTATCATTAGAATAAAAACAAACAAAGTATATATTGGAAACCAAAGTTTGGTTCCAGATTTCTGCTGGACACCTCCAGCCATTACTGATTTATTAAATTTTATCACCGGCACACTTGATTTAATCTAATAAAGTATTGATTAGCCAAACCAGATTTTGGATGATAATTACAAATAATACTGGGCTTCTTTGAGGAGATATTACGATAAGAGAAGCACACTGACAGACATAAAATCACTACTTAACGTGTTAATGTTGAGTGTTTTTTTTTTCTCAACTAATACACACTTACTGCTCAGAACACCTTGTTAATTGTAATTTTCTCACTGCCTAAAACGCTTGCACAGTACTGTATTTCTATAGAAATGTATAGGAATAGTGTTAATAGTTTTTAATTTTTATTTTTATATTGTACAACCTTCCTAGAATCAAAAGTAAATACTGTTTGGACTGTCAGGTCTATAAGGAACCCCAAGCAGGTCTGCATTTGATTGTAAGGCATTATTAAGAATGCTATAGGAAGCGCTACTCACCGATTAAACGTCAAAGGTGAAGCACCATGTTTTATTTTCACTTATTCCAATTTCAGAAATACATCACAAATTTCAATAAAAGTAAAACCACCCCAGATGGCAGAAAAAAAAACATGTTAATGAAATTCTGTGATTAAAGCCTACTGTGACTAGATACTAGAACACTACGCTGCTCCTTGGGCACAAACCAGCTCGCCTCTGCTGCACACTTGCTTGCAACTCACTCACTCATGTTTAGCAGGCTTAAAAAATTTCCACAAGGGCACACCATTAGTAGTGAAATAGTCTGTGATGCTTCATAAGAGCACTGCTTCACATCAGTGACACTATGTTAACTTGTTTTTATTGGATGCTGAGGTCAGATATGGTTGCAGATGTTTCTCTGGGTGTTTTGATGAATGTTTTTTCATGTAATCCAAAAAAGTCAATTATTTCAGTCATTATAATTGGTAATACAGGGGAGTTACTATTGATGCACTAATGCATTTTTGATATATGGCAGGTGTAGTATGTAGCAATACAATCACAATACAGGTTATTTGTCCATATAATGCAGCTCTAATCTAGACCAACAAAAGCTTTATTACACGTCTGGGCTGAAAGAAAGGCAAAGAGAAAAACAGCACAGTGTTGTGGTCATAAATTATTACTGCATGAAAATTTCCAGCAAGTACTGAGACTGTGGTCTTGACCAGGACCCAGACCAAGATCCTGTTTTTATAGCTTTCACAGGTCTGATGGCCATGTGATGATTTCTCCATCTTCCACCCACACTCAAATTCTCTTATATACATATGCACCCTCTCCAAATGAATGTGACGGTGTTTCCGCAGGTGCATCCAGTCCCTTCTCTCGGGCAGGAGTTGCACACAGGCCAGATTTACGGCCCTGACACAGGAATCCATTAAAGCCTTTTGGGGAATTCGAGGCCTAAACTCCCCTGTAATCGCTTTCATTATAGCTCGCAGCTACCAGCGAGCAGGGCAATCAGTGCCCAACATGTGTTCCTGTTTATTCCAATGGCAAAGGGCCTTAAGTGGCCGGCGAACACTTCTCTCAGCTATTTTTATGGAGCGGGTGGCGCTTAACCCTTTCAGACGTTGCATGTAGTCAAGACAACGGGTCCACTTGACCCCTGCTAGTCCGGATTGAGGCTGCTGCCCTTTCCCTTAAAATGAGATGAATTGGTGGATGGCCGTCGTCCGTCAAGGCCAGCCCAATCAAAGCCCTTAAAGAGCCTACTTCCCTACTTCCTTTCCCCGGCCACGGACACTGTAAATGGCCTCCAGTTTAGTGGCAGGCTTTGATAATGTGGCAAACGCTGGTTTATGGGCTGCCTTAGCGACTGGCCAGCTTTCTTATATATACATGTATGCGAGTGTGCGTGTCACAGCAGTGCTGTTTAATGACAGGCCTCGAGGCCTGAAGCCACAGCATGGAGCCATGCCCTATAATGCTTCACTACTTTAATTTGCCAATTAAAAGTGTTACTCAGGTGTGTTATAAAGCTCAGGGATTAGCAGTCTGACTGGTCTGTACCAGGCCAAGAAACTAATGTTGTTGCTTTGTAATTACGATCGGAAAATAATGCCTGAACGTTTGCTGGTCACTGAACAAATTTTCAGGTTTTATAACATTGTTCCACAAGGTTGTGTTTTCAACCTTTTCTTTTCTCTTTCAGGATCAGGCTCAAAAGTCACCCGTGCTTGCTGGCTTTAATGACTATTTCATTGATGGAGAAGACGAACAGGACACAGCCAGCAAGTAAGAGCCTGACTTTAATCAGATTTCACCCTCAGAGTGAACTGTTACCTACACATAATATGAACATTTGTCTTTTTTCCTTTAGAGTTTCATTTTATTGGAAATAAGGCAAGGCTTCTTGAGGCAATATGAAGGATTCAGTAATTCATTGGTTGATATATTGGTTCTCAAATTCCTAACAATACTGCCATCTGGTGTTCATCACTACCCTCACATTGATCTCAACAGTATTGAAAAAATCACAGATCATGAAGGTGTTTTATGAAGGGTGATTTCTCAGTTAGCTGAATAACCTAAGCAAGAAGGTAAGACTGTTCAATAAGGAAGTGCCTCATACTGAACAGCTATTTGGCTAACTAAGATATGTTTCCTTCTCAAATACTTGCGAAGTTTGATTGTAGCTGATAATATTAATGTTTGTGTTTGTCTGTAGGATCTCCTCGGAGGACAGTGGGGAGGTGCCGTCCTACACAGAGGACAGTGATGACTCAGAGTTGGAACGCGAGGCAGGACGGACAGGGCAGATGAATTTGCTGGAGGAGATCCTGGACTCTTTGAGCACCACCAGTATAGAACAGGGCAAACTCTCTGCTGCCAAGAGCCTTGACTTCTTCAGGTCACTGGAGGACCTCGATTGCGATTCCACGGTGAGGAGGGGAGCTCTGTTTTATCCTCAGCTACTTAACAGTTTATGAATGTGAAGACACTGTTGATTTGTTAGATTTTTTTTTCCGTTTTTTTTTGGTCTGAATAAATGTGGAAGGACATTGTTTACCATGAGCGACATGAATTTCTGACTTAGCAACAATTTAATTCAGTTCTGATTTTTAAGGAAGTAATTACATGTATTGTGAAATCACAGTTTATACAATGATTCAGTTTGAATATTTGGTTAAATTGAGAATTATTTGCAAAAATTCACTAACTACATTGAACAGTTTTGATAGTACTGGAATGTAGGTGATAAAAACAAAAATAGCGCATGGTTTTGTTTTGTTGAGAAGTTCAGTTTGGATGAAAAATGAAAGCTTTATTACAATGCAGATTTTTTGCATATTGTCATAACTTATACAAGACAAAGATAACCTGAGAAAACACAAAATAGTTTTTAAATAAATGTTTATTAAATATAAAGTTGTCCAGCATTAGCTGGCCTTGTGTGGAACAGTTAATCTTAGATACTTAATCAACCAATTAACCAAATGTACCAACTACTTTTTCACAAAGAGGATATAGGTGTTGCAGAATGTTTTTCCTTCAATAAATGAAATTATCTTTTAAAAGCTGTTTCTAATTATAAGACGTTTCTCTGTCTTATGTTACATGTTGTATGAGGATCTGAAATCCTTTACTGTGTCAGATGAGCAATTATAACAATGCAATTGCAGTTATATGACAATCAATTATAATATTCCAAAATATATGCAGTTCACTTGACACCTTATTAATGCATATGTTTCAGAACAAATCCAGATCTTCAAGTGGGAGCAGTCCGGCTCAGGCTGGCTCAGTAGGTGGAGTGGGCAGTGGAGATCAGAGTGGCTGGAACATGGGGCAGGATGACAGCGCTCTCCATGGCAAGCATCTTCCCCCTTCACCCCGGCGCCAGTGCAGCACCAGGTCCCTACCCGTTCCCTTGCCCAAAGCCTCCAAGGACCCTCCTGACACAGGCCTCCCGCAGCCTTCGGCCAGGAATTCTCTCCAAGAGGAACCTTTCCAGCCTGAAAAGGGCAAACCTCCTGTCGCTGACGCTCCTGCCCACCTAGAGCCCCTCTCAGACCAGCAGCTGAGCCCGGATGACCAGCAGCTGAGCCCGGATGACCAGCAGCCAGCGGCCTCCTGCACCCTCCGGAGGAAGGTCCTGTCCAAACAGACACTGAGGCAATACCAGGAGCGGCAAGGTGGGGCTGGAGCCGTGGTGCAGGGCGGCAGGCAGCCCTCAATCCTCGTGCCCTGGGAGAAGGGGCGACAGGGCCATGGAGGACAAATAGAGGAAGAAGGGGTGCAGGAGAAAGGCTTGCTAGAGGAGATAGAGTCCATGTGTCTCCTCAGGACAGCCCTCGACTCAGCTCAAGCAAGTTCATAACAACACCGGCCTGAACAAAAGCTGAGAATGCAAGCATCCTCTAAGCATGTTCATCCTCCCATCCTTCGCTTCTTACATATGCCACCTTCTTCTCCTTCTGCGTCTGAGGTACTGAGGATAATAGTGCTTTGATTTCTTAAGTGTGTTTCATGGTTTGAAGTTCTTGTGAACAGTAGATCTACATATTTCTCATGTTTGAACTCATGTATGAACATTTGAAAGGCGTGTAGAAACGGGCATGTTGCGAAGACAAATGAACGGTGAAGAGTGCTGTAATGGATGAAAAGGGACGGCGTTCCACCTTTTTTCTCCTGTCTCACAGTTAATATATATATACAATATTTTATATATATATATATATAGTAGATACGTCCCAGTTCCAATATACTTTGCAAAGACATTAATCACTGTAACTCTAAATTACTGTGTTTGGAAAACAAAGTTCTATCCAGATTAATGTATTTTTGAAAAGAAAAAAAAGACAGAGAGAATTTTAGCTAAACAAGATGCCTTAAACTGAGTTCTGATTTGCTTCTGGCACTACGTAGTGTTATCAGACGTTCACTCTGGAATCTACACATGAATGCTACCTTCGGTCGTCTGTAGCTGTAGGTTAATCGTATTCCTCCATGGCGTGTTCTTTGGAGGTGTGTGTGTGTGTAGCTTGGAGAAAAGCCGGCTATTTACTTCACATTTTCTGTGATTAATGAAACTTTTGTTTTTAGAGGCATGTTTCTTTTCCAAGACTATTCTCAGGTCGCTTCAGGTAGTATTTATATGTCGACTCCGGCCTTGCCGTACGGTAGACTGTCAGTATACAAACTGACCCTTGACCCTAGAGTGGTATGTGAACATATAGATAGTTAACACTGAATGATTCTAGTTTACTCTCTTAACGGTATGTTTGTCGCACAGCCTTAACATGTACAGTGGAGGCCAGTACACAGCACCTTGAATAATATTTTGCCTGTTTCAGATGCATGACCCCTGCTGTGCTGTACCAGAGCAGTGCAAAAATTATCGACTAATCACACCCAAAGTCCAGAAACCGCCCAGAGCTGAGCAATAGATTTCTTAACGATAGTTTAAATACTGAGTGACACATTGAGCTTTCAGGGAAATGTCTTTTATTTCAAAGTATGCCTGGCTTCTTCGGAGAGATTTGAGCTTTTTGTATTCACTTCGGTCACCTTTGGCTATTTACTCCAAAGCCATATTGGAGCAAACGAGTAGAAGTGTCAGTTTTGCAGGCACTTGTTTCATTTGAGCAGATTAAGTATTTAGGCTCTTAGGCTTAGTGATTTACGCCACATGCCATTCTGTCAGACACTTTAACAGCCGACCTCACCCCCTCCTGCGCACTGCTTTGTGGTAACGATGTGCTTGTAAAAGCATTCCATGATTTTTTTTTTTTCCTCCTTTTAAAAACCTCGCCTCAAATCTGTATTTCAGTTTTTATTTAGCCTGTTCACTCTTGCTCTAAAAGTCTGAGGCTGTCACGAACATATATGCAGGCTTTTCCAAGGCTTTCCTATTCTTTGGAAAATTGAAAGGCCCTAAAATAGAACCCTGATGAACTATGCAAATTCATTTTTCGGGTTCTAATAGATATTAAAGTTTTCAGCCCTTTGCAATAAGATGTCATTATATGAGTCTCCCACAAAGTCGTATGTGGTAAATATAACAAAAAATAACAAAAAATCTCAGTTGTATCATAAAGATAATCAGTTTTACTCTGAACTGCTGCTGAAGTGGAGTTTAGGAAAATCTATGAAGATTCAGAGGTACTGGTACTGAATTTCAAAGGTCAAAGAGCATTTGCTAAAAATGAATGTGCCATCCATTAGCAAATTAGCATAGTTCTGTTTATTAGCACTATGCTAATTTCATTCATTATTAATCACACTAGTATTTCTGAACAATTTATAACCTTAATTATTATGTAGCCATTTATGGATATATTTGGTACAAAATTAGGTTTGCCCTTTTATCTTTGCTATGTATTATATAACCTTTGTCTTTGCTAAGCTTGATAGAAACGTCGGTACAGGCTAAATTTTATGCATTTTTGTTTTTAATAGAAAGTCTTGCACTAGGTTTCAATTTCCAATTCCTCTTCAAACTCATTAAAATAACAGCAGCATCAGCAGCAGCTTTGACTTCTAGTCTGAATGTTAGGGTGTGCCTTAAATGAATAAGCGATTGATACTCAAGGACGGTTCAGAGTAGGTTCATTATTCCTTTCTTTCTTTTTCACAGTTTGCCTGATTGTACAGTCTTTGTTTTCATGCACGCTGCACATAATCTCTGTGTTATATAGATTCCCCTTAAAAAAGCTTTAAAAAGATGTATAGCTGAACATCATCATGTTAATTGAATTATTCGGTTTTACATACAACTTGTGGATAAAAGTTAAATGTTTAAATGTTTTGGATGTCACTCGGAGGGCCTGTTCGATCAAATGAGCACAGGAAATCTCAGTGGAATAGCTGGGACTGTCTCAGTGTAGCTTTGTCAGTATTATGCATTTAAAAGCTGCATCTAAACTAGCATTTAAGTAATACATTTTAGTAATACATAATACAGCAAAATACATTTAAGTATTTGTCTTTATTTTCATTTCACAAAATTTGTTTGGAAGAGGTATATTTATCAAGCATTTCGGATTAGAACACTGATTTAAGGTCTGTTCATGTGGTTCTTTTGAGCTATATAAAAGGCATAAGATGATCTCAGATCAGCATTTTTACTGTTTGATAAACATGTGCTTGAAATAGTCGTATGCAAAGGTTTGGGCAGTCCTGCTCTAATGACGTTTGGTTAATTTTAAGTGGTTAAAAAAATTCCTCTGCTGTTTTTATTGCCTGAAAAACAGTAACACTTTATTTGGATGGTCTACTGTAGCTGTTTTGTAGACTAAATGTCAGTTAAATGCTACTAAACTTGAGGTTGGGTGTGAAAGGTTCTATTAAATCTGTCTCTAACCCTAAACCTAACTGTAACCTTAACCTCAAGGCAAAACCTACACCTGCTCCTAAACCTAAACCTAACCCTAACCTTAATGTTGTTGATAATCAGCTATCACCAGAAAGTTTGTTAATGATATAAGTATCCGTAGATCATCTTTAGAGGACCATCCAAATAAAGTGTGACCAAAAACAAAGTGTGCAAAAATTACAGTACATTTTATTTTTTGTTTTATTTTTCCCAGTTGGATAATTTCGTCAAATAAATGTACACTGTGCACTTAAATATGCAGAAAGTGACATATTTAAGTGTGTTCCCTGTAGAGGATGTGTTTTCCCCCTCCTCCCCTCTGTACTTTGCCCTTTTTCATCAGTGACGATATATTTTGTACTTTTTCAGGCTTACGTTGCAGTCTTAGTGCTGTCGATCCAGTTTACTTCATCACTCTGTTACTTGTTCAGTACATTTAAAGTGATTTATGAAATCTTAAACTTTGTTAGGTACAAATGTGGCTACTTTTCTTTTCAGACCACATAATTTCCAAGTTAGCATAAATAAATAATGTTAAATGGTTATTATTTCTTTCTATTATTGCATTTGTTGGCATTCTAAAAACACTACTAGGCAGCAAAGACATTTTGCAAGAAAACAGCAAGTTCTGAAATTTAGTGGGAAATACTTGATCTGTAGTAGAAGCTGTTCTGAAAAGTCGTCTGAAGTCTTCGTCTCCTGTTTACAGATGATTCCTCTTGTTGAGCAGCCCTGGCTCTTAAATTGAAAGCTTACTACTGTGCTTACTTCCACCATACTTAAGGTTCTTACAAAGTGCATGATGAAAGATATATACGTTTAAAAGGACAAATAAACATGTCAGATTTCTTTTTTGTCAGTATGTTCATGCATGATCTTTTTTTTTTTTATAATTTTTGCTTAATTAATTTTTTTTTTAATTCTCTGATTTTACTGTGCAGTTATTTGACATTATATATTGTAGTGGAACTACTGTTGTTTTCTAGAATGTGCTTTTTACTACGAGTCAAAATTCTGCTTGTCAAAGATAAACTATGTACACATTTGTATGATTTTGAGCATTGCTGTAAGATGTCCTCACCAGAAAAAACAAAAATCAGCTTCTGTGCATGTGACCCACACTCCATACAGTCTTTTAGAGGAATTATAGGCTTAAAGAAATAATCAGAATATCATTTCGACACCACCATGTCAAAGTTTGGACAGATTCTCCTGTAATGATAATATATACCCAAAATGGCCTTTTGCTTCAGTGCCTACATGCGCAGCCCCACATACTTCAGCTGAGCTCTCTTGAGTGGCTGTAAGGGCTGTATTGAGTGTGAGTGCAATAAATAATGCTCAAAATCTTACATATTATAGCTTTAAACGACAAATGATCCTGTCTCCAGCATACAATCCCTAATCAGATCTATTCAAACATTCTCCTCCTGCAGTGACAATCAATCGCTGCCCTGTAATGACACACAAAGATAAAAATACAAAGATGTCACAAAGGAATGTGCTTTGATCCGTCAGGTGCTGTGGTGATCAGAGTATATGCATTTCAGTTGTGGTCTTAAGTGGTAAAAACTCTGTCCAAGTGCAGTTGCATGCCCTCTATTCAAACGTAATAGTGTTCAAGGACAGTAAAGGTCAATCTAATGTGTTGTTTCAGGAACTACTGGTACAACTGTATGCACTGTGAACTGAGAATAAATTATATAGATGTTTATGCAACTTTCATACCGTTTTGTTGTGTTGTTTTTATTTTTCTTGTAAAGTTTTGTGACGACATAAATAGTTCTTTTTAAAAAGTCACACAGAAAAATGATGAGGCAGATGAGTATAAATAAACCAAAACAGACATGATTCTCCATATAAAAAACAGAACTTACAGCATTACAGTGTTACACCGGGATGGTCTAATCTATATTTAAGGAAACTCTTTGTCATCTACATCTGACCATTCTTTTCAAAATTTCCTCAAGATCTACCATTCAACAATTTCACAATCTACTTCTACAGCTGATATAGAGCCAAGGCTATGCAATACTTGAGGCTGTCTGAAACCCTACTTGAGCTGGATTAGTTTTACTCAGGGAGGTACATTTAAGTGATTAAAGGGTCCCTTGCATCATGAAAGCGTTCTTCAGATTGATGAAAAGGATTCTATATAGCACCCAAAAGGGTTCTTCTGTTGTTGTCAAGCTTGTAACGATAGAAGAACCTTTTTTCAAAAAAGGTTCTATATAGAACCATCTACAGCACGTTCATGCATACTCTCCATCAATCTGAAGAACCCTTTCATGATGCAAAGAACACTTCAATCATGCAAAGGGGTTTTTGAGTGTTCATGGTTCTATATAGAACCATTTTCTTTACTAAAGAGCCCTTGAAAATCCATCTTTTTCAAGAGTGCAGATGAAACAAGTTCTATATGAGTTCTATACTTTTAATAGCCTATGAACATAATTTTTATTCTTTTTTTCAAACAGTCCGTAAAAGTTATAAAGGAAATCATTTTAGGACTATCATGGTAATAATATTGCCCAATTGGCTGGTTCCTCTAGTCTGACTGGCTGGCTGAATTTTCCCTCCTGTGCTCTGAGTGGCTAATTTTTTTTTACACTTTGGTTGGCTAGTTGAATTTCCCCTCCAATGTTCTGATTGGCTAGTTGAATTAAGCTTTTTGTTTCTTATTTAAACTGGCATAGAATTATTTAGCTGTATAAGTCTTAAACTCAGAGAGAATAATGATATTAAGAATATAAAATCACCCTAAGATAAATGCAATGATAAGGTTCTTGTAAGTGTACAAAACAATATATGACTATAGTAGTAATGGTCATATCATTGTATTGCTCAGAATAAAGAATTCAAGTTAAAATGAATTCATCTTAAATGAAAAAAGAATAAAGGTAAAAGAAATAATTACTAAAGCAGGTTATATGTCAAAATCGCTGCAAACTATTTGCCTTTAAATACATTTATTATTTAGCAGGGGTTCTTATCCAGTGGTAGGTGAATACAGTGTTAGGAGTCTAGCCCAAGGGCTCTAACTGGTACAGCATTGGTGTTCCTCTTTGGATTGGAATATTGAACCTTTGATCCATGACAGTGGTGTTATCCACTTGGCTATCCAACACGCTACAGCTATAAACAACTTATTTAGGCAGCTAATGATGGAAGCGCGTGTGACGTAGGCTAATCTCACTGTGTATTTACAAAACAGGTGGAGGATGTTTGGTGGGATGCTTGCTTACAGCCCCAAAAGGTTCTGAAATGACACTGATATGTAGATCCAGGCTATATATCTGTTTTATACAACAGTTAGTTCCGGCCACGCAAGCTGATTGGTTCGTTGAGAAGCGTACTAACCATGCTGTTATTCTCTATAACAGCATTGTTTCTTCACACTGTATCACTCCGCTGAGATGCCGTTGCTAAGCAACCACTTTGACAACTGTAGGAGCCATTTGAAGGTTTTTACTTCTTACTTTGTGCACAAACAGAAAATGGATACTTTGAAGATCACATTTGACCGACAGTCAATTTGGTCAGACTCTGAAGATGAGACTACACTAAATTCCAAAACTGTCATCACCACTGAGCTGCTTTTCAGTTGGCAGCTGTGACAGAAGAACAGCTAAACAACCTGAAAGCAGCCAGAAATGAACCGAATACCGTTCCCCAAACAAAATGGGCTGTAAGATGCTTTACAGACTGACCGGAACAAAACAAGGAGCTGGAGAACGAACTGCAGACTGTGCAGCGAGTGAGCGGAGCTCGTTACTCTGACGTAGCAACGAGCTGCTTGTTAAGGAACTATAATTTGGCGGAAGGAATTGCTAACATTAAAACGTTCAATGCCACGTTCACAGCCCAGTTTATTAATTTCTTACTTTATTTCTTTAACTGTTGTATAAAAGCTATAGAACACTTGAGGTCGTGTGTCGCGAATAACATCACGCCTTAGGCTCGTGCCTGCGACTAAATCACAGCCATAGTGTTATTTCGCGATAACACATTCCCTCTCATGTTCTATTGCTTAAGTATCTGTGGTAATCTGGGAAAATGACAGATACTTTATCACCCAGCCAGATTAACCTCCTGAGATAAAACCAATCCAGCTCAAGTGGAGTTTGTTTCATTTGGCAGTTGAATCACAGTCACTGTGACACCTCAGACCCAGTTTTTTAAAGATGGCTTCCGGCTCAGATGAGTCTCTCTGCAGGTGGCGGCTGAACGATGTTCCACATCTCCACGCGGGACCCCTCCTTCTCCTGTCGGCTCGGGCTGTAGGTGCCATGGGTAGCCCGCCGGTTCAGGGCCACCACAAGAGCCGTGGCCGCGGCCAGCAGAGCCAGAAACAGCACCACCGACACCAACGTCACAGACAGCAGCAGATCAGACGCCACACTCTCTGCATTCAGCTAGAAGAGGACACAGAACAGGCAGGGTCTGAGACGCGTTTGGTGGTAAAAAGAATAATCTTACAACTCTGTGTCCAAAAAAGTTGAAACATGCAAATCATTTAAACCCCATATTTACTTAATAATAGTAGAAAGACAGCATATCAAATGTTGGAACTGAGAAATTTTGTTTATTTTTTTTTAAATATTTGCCCATTTGGGTCCCTTGGAGAATATATACCCTGAACACGTCATATTAAATTTTGTTTAATTATCTCTCAGTTGTGACTCTTTGAAATAGGGAAAGAAAACCTGTCAAAAGCATGGATTAAACTTCCAAATGAGACCAATTTCGTGTTTATAATAAGGACAGGAGATATTTTATTGGTGTAACTATATACATAACTCTGCATTTATTGATACAGACTATACATTTAAAGGTAGCTCAACAACTGTAATGAATTACGTAATGATCTATAAGTAATTACGGATTGTAAACTTAATGCATAGCAAAACTAGATTTGTAAGCGTAAAGCCGGACCAGTTGTGTTACAGCTGGAAAGAACGAAATTGTGCATTCCTGATCTAGACTTTACGTAGAGAAGATGTCCAGTTTGTGAAGTTTATGATGCGGTCATTCTCCTGGCCTGGCTCAGTCCTGAATGCTGAACTGTGGAAGCCATTTAGAGACCTACTGGAAGAAAAACTGCAGTATTTCTCCCAGAGCATATCACCTCACTGCAGGCACGCAGACGCCTAGAGGTCCAAACAGCCTTCTATAAAGTCAACTTATAGCCTTACTTTTAAATATCTTTAAATACTTTTAAAAATATCTTAAGCTACTTTTAATTTGAAATCATTCATTTTGTCAGGGACATTAATATTATTAGTTTTGACATTTTATCTGTGAGGCCTCTGGAAGTTTAGCTGGTTTCCTGAACATAGAATAAGCCTAGTCTTAGTCTTGGACTAAATTGTAATATGTAATATGTAACTTTCTCACTATTATGTCTCCAACAAGTTGGTTTCAGGACATGCCACTTCACCTGCTAGCATCTAACATTAAACTAAATGTTTACATTAGGCTACCTATTGAGGATATTAAAATGATAAATAATGAATAACAAATGCTGCCAGGCAGTGCACTGAGGCAGGAAGGCGTCCTGTATGGCTTGAACTTTGATATAAAACACTGCCCACTGCAGTTCCTCCATTTGGCAGTTTTTTTGAAGGACACCTTGATGCATCCCTAACTGCCGTACATTTCCCATAATTCTGTGTGTTAGTGTCAGTTTGGTCAGTGGTCGGGGAAAACAAGTTGAAGGCACCTGCACAGTGGAGGAGAGTGGTTTGTGTACAAATTCAAGTTATTTGTGATTGTTTTTATGTACATGAAAATGAAAGTTGTTTTAAAAGTGTACCTGTGTTTTGCTATGTAAACTTCTGTTTGTGTATCTCTATATTACTTGTAACCTACAGGGGCCGTTCAGATAAGCTGCAGTATTCATTATAGTTAGGCTAATTGCAAAGTAACTTTTAACAGAGTTTTTATATAAGTAAATCACAACCATGTTATTTTTACTTTAGTATATTTCTAATAAGTAATAAACTTAGATATTTTTAAATTCTAATAACCATTTCAGGGTTTAAAAAGGCCTATATTTCACAACTCAACTTTAGCAGGTTGACTGATCTAATGTTACCTAAAAAGCTACTTTTAAGCTAATGTTCAAGGTGAGCTAATTCTTAGGTAGGTTAGCTTAGCCAGTAAAGTCAGCGAAATGTTTCTTTTTTTGTGAGGAGTTTCTTTAACGTAAAATACCACATTTTGATAAAAAGTGCAATATCCTCGTCTACTTAATGCTAACGGCTAACACTAACGCAGCTAAATGCTAACAGCTAGCAGTGAGCTGTTAATTTTGTGAGAACTTGTCATATTGCTGCATTTGAAGCGCGTCTCAAACATATGAAAGCCTGTTTCCACCACTTGAATAAAAAAGTGTTAGTGAGATAACGTCTCATAACAGTGAGGTCACTCCATTTATGCTAATGACTTAACATCTCAAAATGACTTGGTGTCTTATAATGAGTTAATCTCATAATAATGAGAAAGTTTCTCATGATTTAGCATCTCATAATAATAGTGTCTCATGCGTTAATCACATAGCAATGAGAAAGTTTGATTGAGAAAGAGAAAGAAGATTTAGCATCTCATAACTATGACTTAGAATCTCATAACAACAAAATATCTCATAATAATGAGTTAATGTCTCATAATGAGTTAGTATCTCATAACTATGAGAAAGTTTTCAGTTATGACTTGGTATCTCATGAGTTAGTGTCTCATAATCATGGCTTAGTATCTCATAATAATGACAGTATCTCACAAGAATGACAGTATCTTAGGATAAGATGCTAAGGCATTATTAAATACTAGAGACTAGAGAAAGTCATAATTATGACAGTAACTCATTCTAATTAAATCGTATCTCAGTATTATGGGATGTTAACTCTTTATTATGAGATAGCAAGTCATATTTATGAGATGCTACATCAAAACAATGAGATACAAAGTCATAATTGTGGGAAACTTTCTCATTATTATGATTGACTAAATGACTATATGGTGGAAATGGGCTTCCATACAAACACGATTCTGTTACAGGTACCTTCACCACAGCGTGAGCAGTAAGGCATCGAGGCAGCTGCTTTCAGTTTCAGACACGGGCAGAGTCGCAGGTTGCAAAACATTTGTTTGACCACACTTACTATGTATGAGATGTATATGAAATATACAGTAGAATGCACAGCGATTGTAAACTAACTGCATAACTCACTACGTAACCATACATAATTACATAACTACATCTGAAGAGTCTATCAAAACAAGTAATAACACTCAACTAAGGGTTAAAGTTCAGCCTTTAAATCAGAATTAAAGGCGCTCACACATTCCCGAAGTTCTGACTGTGCTGTTCTGAGCAGCAGTGACAGGTAGAGGCTCAGAGGCCTTTGAAGCTTCATTCTCAGTGAGTGGAGCTGAGCTCATCACCTGTTCTATGACTGTGGGCGGATTTCTGTGCCAATGTGTGTATGTGTGTGTGACTTCCTCCAGATGAACGACCCTGTCATCGGGATAAGCTGCTCCCATACATCTAGCCTGCGTTTTCCCGACCTGCAGCGATGCTGCCACCGCTCTGCTGAGTTGCATTTCGTGGAGAAGCGTGCAGCGTCTTTCTGCTGGCCCAGCACTATTCACTCACTCTGAAGGCGCACACGTCTACAGTACAGCCACCAGCTCAGCTCAGACTCTCCCAATCCTCCGAGATTTATGCTTCAGCACACACAAAACTGGCCCCGGCTCATTTCTACCCTGTCGCATGATTTCTGACTTGTTTAAAGTTGGTAAGATTTTTAGTTTAAAACTTTCCAAAATTAACTACAATTATCAACAGAATGTGAAGAAATAACAGTTTTGACATTGTCAGTTTCGACTTTGTACCATGTTGCAGAGATATCTACTGAAGTTGGCATGCTAACCTGCTAATCCTGGCCTAGCCTGTTTTGTAATACCACTTTGCATTGTAGCGTTGAGTCTCTCATCAGGCCAACATGAAGTAGCACTGTCCTGAGACTGCATTCTAACCTCTTGTCAGCCATACTGAAGGCACCGCCCCCAGTTGGACCATTTAAGGACACATAGCCAATGAATGGACCAGTAAACACAATGACGGCTGAAGCTTTTGGCAAGTGACCATTATCACCACCACTGCTCACTCCCAGCAAGAAGCCTCAGTTCTTGGTGGATAAAGGGATGAAGCTTGATGCTGATTTTTTTCTTCTAGACTAGTAAGAGGGAGGTGGAGGGACTGTGCATTTCCTTGTGTCTTACAGTAGGGGTGGACACCACATCATTCTCGTAATATGCTGCCCCCTATTTGGAGTGTGGAGTATGAATTCAACAGGTTGTGTCATCTTACATACTGCACCTTTAAAGGGAAATTCCATATATTTTTCAAAATGTCTGCATAATTATATGGTTGAGATGTAAACATAGTCATTTAGAGTGGTTTGGTGAGAAACACTTCATTCTACAGAAACTTACTAAGTCAGTTTTTCACAGTGGTGTGCCTCTAAAAGCTCCCTGACAGAAAGTTATTACATGAAATGATTCTGAATACTCAGCCTGATGTCTGAGACATTATTACAAAACTACCGTAAAACAAAGTTTTGGTATAAAACGTATGTTAATCAGTTTATTTTAATCTATTCATGATGGAGGGATACATGAAGAGTGTTATAAGGCAAAATAGTCCCCAGAGAAAACTCTTTTATTAGATTAACTACATCACATATATCAGCACTACATATAAAACTCATGTAGGTTCATTGGTGGTTCTGGATAGTAAATAACATGGCTATATTTGTGTTGTAGACATTGTGACCCCTGGTTCCTATCACTACCACTGTATAGAAATCTGACTCTGTAAGTTTCTCTATGATGAATCATTTCACACCAAACCACTTCGAATGACTTTGTTTACATTTCAACCACTGAGTTACGTAGATGTTTTGAAAAAATGGTGGAATTTCCCTTTAAGAGAAAAGAACCGAAGGTGCTCTGCTGCACATATTAAAACAACATCTATAGAAGCTTCAACATGTTTTAAGTTATCCTACATTTTACTTGTATTGTATGTATTTTCCCTTGAGGTCCACTTATAACATTTGTGTGGGTTTATATACCTAAAACAGTCGGAATTCATTTTCACATGACCATTTTCCAACCTCTCCTTTTAGCTTAGAATTTACAGTGACTTTTTTGCTACTGTGTCTTTAAGACTGATATATGTAAATGACATCTGTTCTGATTGGCTGCCTTGTAGTGTACCTCATTAAAAAAAACTTCTTATACCTTCAATGTGAGTGGGCGGGGCTAAACTGCTATAGGCAGATATCTGTAAATATGTTGGTTTTTGTGATGTCATTAACAATTTTGCAGCTTTGTTTTCATACATGGCCTGTAGGGACACTTTGAAGCTTTAACATCTACTACAGCATTTACAGTGGACGATCCAAATGAAGTGTTACCAAAAGCAGTGACTGTAATTGAGATGACAAATGTTAAAAGTATTTTCAGGTGCTGCTTCCGAAGCAGGGCAAGCAGTCAAAAAGTATTTGGGGGTGAGCTTCCATGAGGTCACACAGTGTGTCAGATAGGCAGGTGCTGTCAGGTGATCGCTCTCCCACATGTATCCTGTTAGTGAGGATTAGCAAGGAGGCTATCTTTAAGTCTCACACTAGCATGCTACACATGGGTTTAAAGAACAGCTGAGGAAACTCTTTAGCTCTTTAGCTGATTCACAAACCAAGAAATAGTCCAGAAAGTCTAATTTACACAGTTTATCCCACAACATGTTTGGTGTTTGAAGCTTGCTTCTTCAATTCTGCACTGACCATGAGGCTAATTTAGCTAACGAGTAAGAGAAGATTAAACTTCAGCAGTTAGCATTGTGCTTAATAAATTCCTAAGTCATCATTTTACCTCAGACCATGTTGAGTTCTTAAAAAAAATATGCAAAATATATGACTAATATGACAAAATATATTACAATATGCTTTTCTGAGTGTATTGTAGATATCGTGAGTGCTCTAAGAACACTGACCAACAGATTTCATTACGAAAGCATAATTAGGCCTGTATTGTTGAATTTAGTTGAGAAAATCATTGTATTCATAATTTTTATAGTAATCTCTTTAGTGGTTTTTAGTGATTTTTTTGTGTCTGTTCCAACTTCAAACTTTCAAAAAAAAATATTGTGGTACATGTCATGTATTGTGAAAGTATTGCAGTTTCATATTTCTGCCATATCGCCCACCCTGCTACCACTACTGTTTTCAGCAATGCTATGTACTTTTTAGTGCGCTATATACTTTCATTGCTTGTTAGCAACATTAACCCCTTAAAATCTCAGGTTTATTACATACTAAGGTTTATTATTCAGTAACTACAGGGACGTCAGTGCAAACTGGCTGAGCAATTCTTAGGTAATAAAACTTTGGGCCTTCTGGTGGGCCCTTGCCATATAAGGGGTTAAACTTGTAGCTCAAGTACAAAATAAAAGAAGCAAATTTTGAACACCAAATATGTCTTGGCTGGTCAGGGTAAAGTAAAAAAGATACAAATTAGATTTTTTATTGATGTATGGTAGAGTCATCTAGTGGGTTTGCCTTCTCAGCTCCATCTTGGTCTAATTTTGTGTTTTGAACTGAATATTTTTTTAACAACCAATATTACATCTGTTGAATGCTTAAACAAAAATTGGTGACACTTTATTTTAAGTGGTCATTTGTAGATGATTAGTAAACTAGATTATCAGTAACACATCAACAACATAGCAGTAATGAAACTTCTGAATACAGGTAGAGGTAAATATCTAATATCTAGGCAAAACCTAACCTTACCAACCTTACCCAAAACCGTAATCAAATGAAGCTCCAGTTACAGAATAGTGTCAGCAGTGTGACTGAAACAGCTTGTTGAGGATGTTGAGATGGTCTGTATTAAACCTGTTACATGTTTAGTAGCGTCTCAGATTAACATCTACAGATATGAATTTGGACCCTCCAAATAAAGTGAAAAACAACTGAATTCAGCAGATTATAAACAAATCTTATTTACGCAGTTTATTAAAAGTCTCTTGATAATCTATGAATGTATTCACTGCTGCTACATCATTGACGTTGTTGGTGTTACTGAGAGTCTGTTGAGTGTTTATTTCATCTAAAATGGACCACTCAAAATAAAGTGTCACCCAAAAATCACTACATTCTTTAAAAAACAGCTCTTCAAAGTTTCTTTAGTAAAGGCAATGGTTAGAACCTTGAATACATAAAGAAGCACCTGAATGCATACATCATTCTGAGCATGGTTACATGGTTTCTGATGGAAAACCTGTTGTATATGGTTCTTGACAGAACCTTTTAAAAATGACTATATAGTTAAAAATATTTCTGCTATTGTTACGAGTCACCAGTTTCGCCAAGAGTTTCCGAACTCCTGGCCATTTTCATTGCGACACAGTTTTCAAATCAGTTTCAAGCTGTTTCAAACTTGCACAATGCTCGCCAGCCCCCGGCATTCAGCAGAGTCAGGATGGGCACCAAGACAGTGATGACTTGACAGACTGCAGCTGATTCTTTGACTGCATTTTCGCTCGTGATGGCTTGACGTGCCTGCTTCAGTTGGCCTGTCCTTCAAAATCTGTAGCAACAGCATCTCACAGCGTACGAAAAAGACAAACTATGGGGAGAGTCACAGCACTGTGATGACAACAGACAATAGACAGCTAAACAAAATTTACATCTACAGAGACAAATAACAGCACAAGAATGGACAGAATGGAAAGAAATGTTTTATTAAAGATAACAACGCTAGATGACATCATTAGAGAACTATATACAGACACATGACAAGAGTATGTTCTGGTCATGACACACACTAACAGACAGATGAACAGACAGATGAATGCATGAAAACTATACTAGTAGATGCTAACAAATACACATATTTAGGGTCAAAAGTGAGAAGAGTTGAAGTTGAATTGTAGTAATATGTTGTAAATTATACATGAATAAATAAAAATGCATAATAAATAGAAATACTTTATGATGATCACTCGTGAATAGTGACATAAGTGCTTGTAAATGACTGAACTAAAGATGAAATACACATAAAAAACAGAACAGTATGTCATATTTCAAAAAAACTGCCTATGTCTAATGTAAATCACTAAACTTCTCGGCTTAAGACGATATGAAAAAAAGTAAATGGAGGCTATTACATGCTCAAGTACTGTCATAACCAATAAATATACATATTTGGGATATTTTAAATAACCCATATCCAATTATGTACATTTTCAATATGTGAACTGTTCTCCCTGTTCAAAGCTTTGTGCAGTGTTTTATACAGCACAGATCTTAATTTATTATAACTTGAAAAATTGTTTATAACTTTATTATAACTTTAAAATTGATAGAAAGGCACAAAATAGATCCCTTTTTGTCTTTATTTCAAGTACTGGAAGTTTGATAACAAGGAAATTTTACTGGTGTAGCAAATGGACAAAGTAGTATTACTGAGGGCCTCAAATCATGACATTATGACATACTCATGACCCACCTGAGATAAAACCTGATGACAATGGACCTCCACATGGACGTAATTAGTCCTGGTGCTTAGGTAGCACAACCAAATTCATAGTGAACTCTGCTTCACTCTCTTATGAAATTCTTCTGTAACCTCACCCACTGGGGTACTGCACTGCAAAAAATCTTGGCAAGTAAAAGCATCTTAAATACAGGCAATATATCTACTGTTTCTCTGTATTGAATTGTTTTAGCAATATTATACGATTATTTGCAAAATATGGTTGCAATATGAGAAGAGATTGTATTCCTCCAGGAGGGGAAAGAACTCTGAGAACCTGGTCTGGAGTTCTGGGTGGTTCTGCTTCAGCATTTTTTACAGCAGCCATAAATTCATATGGTTTTTAATGTCCTGTTTTTCTTCAGTAAGCAAGCTGGATTTTTGCCTCTGTAGTTAAGACAGCAGGTCAATATATATAAAATAGTTTTTTGCATGTTTATATGCTACTTTTTATACGTGTGGCAGCTGTACACAATTTTTGACATCAAGAAAGCTGCAGTTGTGCTGTCCGTTTAATCTCAGCACGGCTGTCTTTGTGGACAGGGCTGAATTTTTCACAGCAGGAGGTTCTCACTACACCCCTTTCACCACTTATTGCTCACTAGCAGCTCAACAGAGTTTCAAACAATCGACAGAGAGAGAGCCAACAGTGTCCTAGTTACTCTGATAACAGAATTACAGGGAAAAATATTAATTTTAAATATCCAAGTCAATTTCCTTTCTGCTGGTGATATGGTCACTAGTAGTCCTGCAGAAAGGGGCCAGGCTAGAGACCAGAAACATAACCCCTCCACCCCCCCCTTGAAGAACAGAGGGTAGAAATGGACATTTATAGGAAGGTAGACTGGAGGGACGAGGAGCTTCAGACATGGTTCTCCAACCAAACATAAGTTGTTTTGAAGTCTATTTCAACCTATTTCTAGTTTTTTTTTTTTTCATTTCATCTTATCAGGTGAAATTATCCCACTGCACTGGCAGTTCATTCAGCTTGATTTCTGAAATAATGCTTAAGGAAAGTCAAATTCCTTCATCAATTAATTCAAATAAAAATGTCTAGAAATAATATTCTTAAACAGTCTTCTAATGAGAAGTATCAGAAATATTACGTACATGTAAGAAGCTTTCACATGTGAAGATGCCTTACAGAGCAAGTTTATAATTGAGCTTATAGCTGAGGGAATAAAACGTTTTTGTTTGCAATAAAATATATTCTGTGTAGAAAATACTGCAGTTTAGAATAGCAGCCCATGACATAAACTCTAATGACCAGCATATCTCAGCAGCGCCTGACAGTTTTTGCTAAATTGCTCACGTACACCCCTCTTCTACTGGACTTGACTGTTTATCAGCAGTGGAACAGGATTGTAAGTATGACAGCCAGCTCTTCTCATAACCACACACACACACCCACACACACACACACACACACACACACCCACACACAGCTCATTCATTCTCCCCCCAGTCCACGGCCGGCTCGCCTTCGTCCAGCCGCAGTATGAGGTAAGAGAGCAGCTGGAACAGGTTCTGCCAGAGTAAAACAGCCACGTAAAAGTAGATGTCGCTTACATCGATCTGACAGGTCTCGCCCCCGTAGCTCAGCTCGCACACGCAATGGAACTTGTTGACCAGGTTGCGGCAGTAGCCGCCGTTCAAGCACGGGTTGGACTTGCACTCGTCCAGCTCCTGTTCACACCTGAATGCAGACACATGTATGAAAGTCAAGTGGGAAAGATAAGCTTTAATTCCTAAATAGGGAAGACTGGAGTTAGTTGTAATATTTTCCATGTTTTTGGTAAACATCAGTGACCTAGTGCTCAAAAACACTGATTTTGGACTCATTTTTTTGTCTGTATTTATACCAAAGCCTTTCTAAATGTATTTGATATTAAAGGGCTTTATTCTACTTTTTTGTTGCATGTTTTTCATGTTTTTCCCTGAAATGCACTAATAATGTTCATGTGGTACCAAACACAGCTATGATTCATTTTTACATGACCACGTACACATCAGGGTTTCTCATCCACTGGGCCGTGGACCACAGGTGGGCCATAAAGCACCCTCTGGTGGTCCTTGGGCCCTCAGGGAGAAACCAAGTGGTCCTTAGTGGGCTGGCGACGGCTCTTTATGTCATAAAAAATTAGTAAATCTGAAGAAATAAATATAAATTTTTTCAAACGGTAATGTTAACACAAGACCTGCAACAAAGGCGCTCAAAAAAGGGCTATACTTTGGTATAAAAAGTGCTTTGCAGAAACATTCTGCTTAATTCGCTATCATTCCTCTCAATTCCTGCTATAAAACAAGCTTACTGAAACTCATTCAAACAGCTGTTTCCATTGTATGAACTAGAAAGTGATACCAGCTCCAACTCTTACATCAATAAGGAAAGCAAAACTTGGTTTTCCGTGATATGGGTTATTTAAACCAATAGATCAAAATTTTAAATTTGACCCCAGGCATTTTTTTTAATTGAACTGCTGTTGACTGGAGCATTTGGCAGCTGACCCCAGTCTCCTGTAAGTGTTTCCTGAATGTCTTGAATAAACTCCTTCCTTATAAGTCAAAGTTATTCATCTCAGCAGTGTTCATAAGTAAATTCCCCTCTTTTGAGAATGGTCATTCAGTCTGGCCCTCACTCAGAGTGCGCAAGAGAAACAGAAAGAAAAGCAAGAGAGGATGAGTGACCGAGTGAGTGAATGAATGACTGACTGACAAAGAGACAAACTCACCGGTGACCGGTGAAGCCGGGCAGGCAGTCACATGTAAAGGCTGCCTCAGAGCAGTTACCCCCATTAAAGCACGTGTAGTTCCGTTTCTCGTCCCCACAGATGGACACTGGGAGCTTGGGGCCTCTGGGGTGAAAAGAAAAGAAGAGGAAAGAAAAGAAAATAACAGAAAAGAAAAGATGAGGCAGGCTCCCCTGTGCTTTGGAGAGCCCCATGAGGGGCCACCGGCTGTCCCCCCCATCTCCATCCAGCACAAAAGCGGATTAGCCAGCGATCAGGATAATGAAATTAGCATCTGAATGGACCCCCGACTGCTAAACAAGAGCATATTAAATCTTCGCTGTGTCTGAGGATTAACATCAGTCTAATATGGACCGCACTAACAATATCAATGTACTGTAAGGGAAAAAAACGCAAATGTCCGATTTTACGAATATTCTCAATGTCAGGATATTCCAAGTCATGGAATATGGAAAAACAATGAGGCTATTATTCCTTCTTTGGAATGAGGATGCTGTAAGTGGCCTCATTTGATCACTTTATGAGTTAATGGTGCTGCAAGCATTGTGGTGGTTTGATATTTCAGGAAAATACAGCAATAAGTACAGAGGTAACGAAAGAAACAAAGATGAAACTCACATGTTCTTGACAACTATGTACCAAGGAATCTCTTCAACTTGGTCGCTGTGAGGGGGCAAACAAACAGAAAACAGAAAATGTGATTCTTTTTTGTTTTTCCACAAGAAAACTTTGCACCAAAGATGTCTCTCGCTCTGGAGGGGAGAAAAGATGGATGTATTACATCTCCCCGCTGCCTGCGAAGCACTTTCAAAGGAGACGAGAGGAAACGATGTGGCAGCAAGACGTGTTTACGAGATAAATGGTTGCAGGCGTGCCTCTGATGCTGCCCTAAAGGCAAAGCACAACCACGGGGGGGGGGTCTGCCTCAACAGAGACACTATTATAACCATCGCTGCTTTTAAATGACACTTATGGCAGCAGTCATATTACCACAAATACACTCACACACACATAAATAATATCATAAAAAACATTTGCATTCTCAGGCTAACAAATCAGTCCCAGAGGGCACTCAAGTTCAGTAAAAGGAAGACACTGTTGTGCTTCTTAAAGGAGATTCTTTGTATTTGCTTTTCACCCCATTAAAATTTACAAAGGGTAGAATATAGTTCTGTATTCTCTTTATTAAAAAGCGCCACGTACTGCTTCATGAGAGTATTGTTTTTTCATATGTGTGTGATTTAAGCTCTTGCTTTAGTTAAGATCAATGGTGCGTGTTCAGACTTGGGACCATGATCACCCTGAGCACGGAACACACTCTAATGAGGTGAACAGAGAAGATGAGTGAAGAGAAAACGAGGAAAAGTACTTCATACTTCACAAAGATTCCCTGCCTTAGAACTGCTGCTACAGTGGTCAGTCCTCATTTATTCAAGTCTGATTTTGTAGTTTTGCACTAATAATAGAAACTGACCACCAATTAGCATAATGCAAACTGCAAACTTAAACCATCAAGCACTGATTTAACCCCTTTTCACAGTGCATGCTAAGGATGTGCATTTCGACTAATATTCAAGTGTCCGTGAGGGTTAAAGAAAGGATAATAGGGAAGTAAAACCAACAAAAATTGGACTTCGGCCAACACTGATGTAGGGCTGTAGCTTACCTTTTTATTGTATTTAAATGTTTAAATGATTGTGGTGATTTTACACAATTTTTTCACATCAAGAAAGCTGCAGTTGTGACCATTTCACCTCAACATGGCCGTCTTTGTGGAGAGGTATAAGTTGTTTTTACAGCAGGGGGGGGTCTCTCCCACCTCCTTTTACTTCTCATTGCTCACTAAGAGCTCAACAGAGTTGAAAAACTTCACACATAAAGAGCCAACAGGCTCTAGTTACTCTGATAACAGAGTTAAAGAGAAACATATTACTTTAAAATGTCCAAGTTAGTTTCCTTTTTGCTTGAGGATTGGTCACTAGTGATCCTACAAAAAGAGGCCAGGCTAGAGACCAGAAACACCATTTTAATCCATTTTTAGTGATCTTATCAAGTAAAATTATACTGTGAATAAACTATTAAAAGAAGTGAAATTCCTTTATCTCGAAACAGATTAAATATATTCTTATAGCAGTCTTATAATGAGAAATATTAGAAATATTAATGTAAGATCCTTTTACATACAAAGAATTTGCCTTACAGAGTAAGTTTAGGACCGAGTTTATGCTGACCTCCTTTCAGGAAAGGAGTAAACAAGAAAAAATGGACATAAATGTAGGGCTGTGGACCTACCGTTTTAGTTGATGGCACACAGTGAAACACATTTTAAAACACGTTTTATTACTGAAAACAGAGGCTTCCTCTTCAGCTGACAGAGCTAAGTGACAGCACTGCAGGCTGATGAGGACTAGTTGGCCCAATACCATTTCACCACTTGCTCCTACCACTCAGCCCTTAGCCCTTTTGTGCGTTCACGTCTAGCAGTAGTGTGTCCCTATTTTTGTTGAGATAGAGGGGTAGGGCAAAGTGTGAGGGCTACATGGCCCTCCAAACAGAGGTTTCTCAGAGGCAACACTCCAAACAGAGTTATGAGAAAAAAAGAAAAACCGGCAAGATGGCGGCGCAAGAGACCAAAGAAACTCACAAATGTAAGAATTTTCTCAGTTAAAGTTCACAATAACCATTGTATTATCTTAGTTTAATGTCATTTCAATGTATTATGGTTCTTTTATTCATAACAAGCATAAAAAAAAATTACTAATAGTATGCTGATGTCTCGTAGCTAGCTAGCTAAATTTCCCGTTCCACCTTAAATAGTCCTGCAGTACTGATGCCTGAAGCGCCAAAATGTAACTGCTGCTCCATTTAAGGCGGAACAGGAAAATTCTAACCAGAAGTTGGCGAATAGCTGACTTCAGCTTCACATTACTGAAGAACTAGGGGTCTAATAAATAATTATTGTGTCCCCCCTCTGGGCCAAAAGACAAATGACACCCTTAATTTAACCAAAGCCCTGCAGCGAGGTTGGTGAACTTTACCCTCCTCTGCTATCACTGCAGACTGGCAATGTCACCTACAGAGCACCACTAGTAGTCTGTTAATGAAGTAATGTTCTTTTTTATTTGAGGGTCCCATTTCACAGGGGAAGATTTCAACCACTACCCCCATACCTCAGTTCCCAGGGACAAGGTAACAAGGGCAAGGGGTAAAAATAAGAAATGGGATTGGGCCTTTGTCTTCCTACAGGCGAATCATGTGACAATGTGTTAGTTTGTCAGACAAATATATTTTTACTGTTTCTGGACCTAGCCAACATCAGCTAGAGTAGTAGATCTAGTTAGCGATACTGCCACGTCAATTGCAATGCGCTTATGTTCAAGCACTCATTTTTCATTGTAGCAAAGTGTTATAAAATATACTTACACACAAATACGAGTGAATTCACTACATTTTACAGTCCTGTTTCAGACAAAGTGGTGTGAATTGTTTTCACAGCAGGAGGTTCTCACCCCTCCTCTTTCACCATTCATTGCTCTCTAGCAGCTCAACACAGCAGTGTTAATTAGATAACAGTGTTACGGGGAAAACATTTTATTTGATATCATTTTATATATGAATTTTTGTTCTTTCGGCTTACAGAAAGAGGCTACACAATGATTTCAACGGGCTTGTTTATATGGTTTCTGCACTGTGTGTCGCATAGCTAAAAAGTGCAGTAGAAGCCATTTTGAAGTCTGTTTTTTGCATGTACTTTTAACCTTTTTTGTATATAACAGCATGTCATACAGTGTCAAAAACTACATTAAGCAAGTCTATTTGATAGCACATAATTTGGTTTGAGGCAAGTGTGTGATATAGTTTGCACAATCCATTGCTTGTTAGCTAGATTAGCCTCATAGCACAAGTAAAAAAAGCAAACATGTCTTTGTTCATTAAGTAAATTGTGTTAATTAGATTTTTCGCTAAACTATTTCTTTAATAACTATTTAAACTATTCCTTTATAGAGAATTACTGGTGGGACTCACGTGCAGTATGGCCCGGTGTAGTTTTCAGCACAGAGGCAGGCGTATTTACCAATGCCGCGCAGGCAGGTGCCGCCGTTTGCGCACTGGTGCTGTGCACAGGCGTCCACCTCCACTGCACAGTTCATGCCAGTGTAACCAAACTCGCAGGTGCACTCGTACTGCAGGCCCTGAGTGGTACAGTTTCCATGGTGACAGGGGTTGGAGGCACAAGCATTGGTGCTGATTTCACAGTGCTGGCCCACCCAGTCGGAGGGGCAGGTGCAGGTGAAGAGGTCAAAGAGATCCTCACAGTCACCGCCATTGAGGCATGGGTTGGGTTCACACACTGGCCCACCCGTGCACTCATTGAGAACTGAAGCTGTGGATGTTTTCTGGAACTGCTCCTTCTGCATCTGGGGCAGCCTGACGTCGTCTGGACCATGATACGGCAACACTATTCCACCGATCTCTATGCTACTCAAGCAGCCAATCAGGTTCCAGCCTGGCTTGGTGCCCAGTCCCCCTACAATGATGTCCATGCCCTCTCGGAGGAAGTCCAGGTTGCTGCCTTCAGAGTCAGATGTAATGGGTTCCTCCCCATTGTCCAGCACAAGCATGGTCCATTGAGAAGAGTAAGCCCCAGGTGCAACCATGAAGAGCTGCACGCTATGCCACTTGCCATCAGCTATAGGTCTAGCACTGCGCAGGCTTAGTGTGGAAGAAAAGGAAGTTGAGGGAGAAGAAGTGGATGTGGAAGATGAGGAGGAAGTGGTGGAGGAGGAAGAAAAAGAGGATGAAAAGGAAGGTAAGCTAAACAACTCAAACACTAGCAGGCCATCCTGTACCAACACGTTAACAAAGCCAGAGCCGCTGACGGCGTGGAGTATGGCTGCATTGCGTTTACGAGTGCGAATACTGAAGGAGATGTTGGTGAGGTGGCGGGAGATCAGCCCGTTTCCTCGATACGTTAGCCTGATGTCATTCTGAAAAGTAGCATTTGAAATACCTGTAAGCATAGAAAACATTTTAGGTAAGCTAGCGGTTTACATAGTGCTTCCAAAAAATGGTTCTTCTAACCTATATTACTTAAGATTGCCCTATTTTGAAGTGCCTAGTGAGAAATAAATGGCTATTAATAACAGTCTTAGCTAGTCATTGTGGTTAGCTGCCACAAGGCTAACCATCTTGGATGGCAGCTAATTTAAAGGACACAACACTAAAACTGACATTATAAAGACAGCTGGTGACACTGAACAACGCATTTTTTCTCAGCTTCATTCACCAAAACTTACCTCATGAATTCACCCATGCTAAATGCACACTTGCAGAATGTAAATTAGTGTAATAGAGTTAGCCTGGATTCATCTTAACTGTGAAGTTAATCCAAGTCAAATTGATTTATTACTGTGGGATCATGTGGCTTGACATAGCAGATGGATGTAACTCATAGTTAATCCAAAGCGGGCTAATCCTGACTAGAACAAATCTGTCTGCTAAGAAGGCTAACAAACGACAAACATATTGTCAGATTAAATACTTAATGAACATACAAGGCAAACATATACTCTCTTCATTAGGTCCAAATTCAAAAAGGGGAAAATAGGGAAATGTTGTTTAAAAGAGGAATTCTGGCCTAAAATCAGAGTTTAATCTGTTGTGTTTAAAAGTGTTAGCTTTCTGTAGCACGACACACACCCCTTAGCCCCATCGATTCTTCAGAATTCACCATTTTTTACTTTTACATGTTTTTGTTCATCAATGTTCTTTCGCTAGAATACCCAGCATGCATTATGCTATGACATTACCTAGGAATAATATTGGGAATCACTGTGGTGTCAACAAACCCTGACTGCTAGCCTAGCGACTGATCTATAGGCTTATAAATAAAACCAGGCTAGCCTTAATAACTCTTACTTCAGTTGTTAAACAACTAATAAACACAGCAATTCTGTCCTTATTTTGCACAGAAAAGGGCACCATTTACCTTTTCAGTCAGAGAAAATGAGCCAATCTGAGTTAAGGTATCTACATAGCTGGGTAAGCTATCTTGCTAATTTTATCATTCTAGCTTGTTTTCCTTATCTGAGAAGTCATTTCTGTCTATAATCTATTCTCTCAATTGTAATGATTACATTACTACACATCCTAGTAGTAAAGTTAGTTATCTGGCATCCTTCTGCATTCAACAACTAACAAATAAGTAAATAAGTAAGTAAATAAATACATTCAAAAGCAGAACCCCCCTTAAAAAACTGAAGTAGTTTTTCAAAAGAAATATCTTTAGAAGATGGTTATAATAATAAGCACAAAGCTTTCAACTACCTTTGTTCTGACAGCAGTGATAATTTAGAAAATAGAAAAGGGCTGATATAAACTGACTGTAAAACTAGTAAACTGACTGAACCAGTAACTTTCTCTACCTGTTTCTTCCCGTCAACAATTTGAAAGAAAAATGCAAAACATGCAGTTCCACTTACATTCATAGCCCTGACTAACGGTCCTGCACTCTGCTTGGGCAAGGCAGGGGGAAAGCTCACACCAGTGAATGTCCTCACAGTGCCGGCCAGAGGTACTGGGGGGACAGGCACAGGTGAAATCATCCCACACCGAGAAACACATACCACCGTTCTGACAGGGGTTTTTCTGTGGATGAGAAAAAGAAAATGGATGAACTAACATACTTGTGTTCATTGTTACAGATTACAGTGTGCAGACTACATAAGCAAGTCCATTTGAGATTATTGAAGAATAGTTTGAGGCATATGATGTCTTAAGCACGCAGGTGCTAACTGGTGGGGTATAAGCTTCAATTACTTGTTAGCTACATCAGCCTTGAAGCAAACTTCAATTGCAACCATTTCTTGCCCCAACTAGACCTAATCCAGCTCAGGAGGGGACTGATGATCAGTTGAAGAGCTGAATCAGATGTGTTGAAGCAGCAAACAGCTAAAACTGTGCAGAGCAATTGGCCCCCAGAAGCAGAACTAATAAACACTATGAGGTTAATCTAATGATTACTATTAAGTAAAAGCTCATGGCATATGACTTGTCACTTACCACACAGTAGTCATCCCCAATGCAGCCTTCAGAAACATTAACCAGATGCTCTGGACTGTATGACTTCACAAGAGTGCTCAATGGGAAGAACAGCAGCGGCTTGTCATTGAGACGAAGGTCCTGAATGCAGCCTTTAAAGGGTCCACCAAATACAGTTAAGGCATGTATGTCACCCATGCCAGCAACATAAACCTTGTCCCCAGCATGAACATGAACAGGGCGGACTGCCAAAGGCCCGGACACAAGGTCAGATTCCAGCAGGATCATCTGGCCCTGCTCAATAGCTAAGCTAACAAAGTGGATATCACCATCACTAACAGTGTTCCTGCCCTCAATGCTTGGGGAGTTGTCGACCTGCGCTTTGAGTCGTCCTTGCTCCAGCCACACATGAAGGTACCGGCTGGTACTGTTGGTCAGCGCCAGAAGCAAGCCCGACTCTCGTCGTGTACGAAGGAACATGGAGAGGGTGATGATGGTTGGATCAGGCTCATCGCTAACAGTGAAGACAGCGTAACTCAAAGAGTTTTCCTGGCCAAACCTGGCAGGGATGTACTCTGTTGGACAAAGGAAAGAGACTTGAAACAAAATGTTTCAGGTTCATTCACCTCTGATATTTACAATATAAATAAAACTTAGGCTGCATTTCTGTCCTCCCACCTACGAACTTCAATTAGGAAAACATTCAAGTGCAGGAAAGGCCTTGTCCTTTATTAGCAATTATAGGCGAGGCTTGCCATTGTGCCAAAAAATACACCAGTGAATAATCCATCAGTTCCAGGGAATCCAGAGAAATTTCTCTGCATAATGGGCAAGGCTGAAAACCACAACTGAATCCCTGTGACCTTCAAAACCCTGAGATGGCACTGCATTAAAAACTGGCATGTTTCTGTGATGGATATCATCACATGGGCTTGGGAAAACTTTGACTAACACAAATGCAGATTAAGGCATGCCCATGTTTATTTCAACAAGACAATGCCAAGCCAATTCCATATGTGTTACAATAGCATGACTGAGCGTGAGTGCTAGACTGGCCTGACTGCAGTCCAGATCTGTCTCCCATTGAAAACAAGTGGCGCATTATAAAGCGCAAAATATGACGAAGGCCCTGTAGCAAAAACTTGCATTACCGGAAAATGGCAAATCAAATCAAGACTGATTGGTGTGTTCAGGCCCCAAACAATTAATAAGTGCTGTTAAAATAAAATGTGATGTAACACAGTGGAATGTGTTACAGGCATCACACTTGGAATTAGTGTATATTTACCAGAAAAAAACGATAACATTCGTAAGGCAAAACATCACAAATACTGTTTTTGTACAAGTGAAACAGAATTTACTGCTTTCTGTTTTCATTAGCATTTGTCACATGCTGTCCCAATTTTTTTGGACCTGCAGTTTGTACTTTGACATCAATACTGGATGCAAAAAGCAAATGGTGGAAAACTGCATGATGCTTTAGGCCAGTAGTTTCCAACAGTGGTACTGGGGTACCCTGGCAAAGATTAGTGTTTTCCCTACTCTAGCACACCTTCCACTCAGGAAAAGCTTAGTATTTAGTTGAAAGTGTATATAAGCAATGAAAATACTAAAATATGCAGAGCAGGTGTTCTCCAGGACCAGGGTCAGGAACCACCACTTCAGTCCTAGGTAGTCCACACTGCACATTTTAGTGTTTTCCCTGCCCTAACACAACCATTCTAATCTCATAAAGAGCTTGTTAATTAAGTAATGAGGTTAGTAAGTGTGATCAGAGGTACTCCAGGACCATGATTGGGAAATACTGCTTTTATATTATACACCTGAACATAGAAGGGTGCTCCAGAGTGTATGCAATTGGTAACTTGTTTGTTAACAAGCCTGTAGATGACAGAAGAAAAAGATAAAACTAGTTATGTATCATCCTACAATGTTATCAGACTGCAAATTTGCAGCTTACCGTCAGTGCAGTTGTATCCTTCATACGGCCGCTGGCACTTGCACTGGTATCCTTGCCACAGATTAATACACTCGCCTTGATTTTCACATGGAACATCCAGGCAGCGGTTACGGTGATCGCAGCCATGCGTGACATTCACAGCTGAAGAAATTAGCCAGTCCTCTGGCACCATCAGCTGCGAGTCCACATACAGGTCCCTCATGCAGCCGATAAAGAAACCAGAAAAGCCTCCATCTGCCAGGCCTCCGATCAAGGTGCTCAGCAAGGCTGACTCCAGCACCAAAGGTCCAGTCTCCACCTGAGCTGCTGCCCCACAATATTCACCTTGGCAGGGTTCCAGGAGCTGGAGGAACACTGTACCTTCAGCTAGCATGGCCTCCACTGTGTGCCACTCACCATCCGCCACATTCTGAGGTAGCTTCAGAGCCCAGACAGGGCCTTCTCCTTGGGAGTCTGTTCTTAAGCTTAGCCGCAAGCGGCCATGCAGCAGCTCCAGGGTGAGCAGCGGTCCTTCAGCGCCTCGCTGGAAGAGCACAGAGTTGCTCAGAACTGTCCGGAAGCTCAGGGTGATGTTGGAGGAGTAGTCCAGAAGTGGAGTCTGCAAGCTCAAGTAACCCCCAAAGGACTCAAAGGAAAAGGCGGTGCTGGTCTGGCAGTGTGAGCCAGTGTAGCCGGGCAGGCAGGAGCAGCTATAGCCGTGCAGGCCCTCGCTCAGGAAGGGCCTACAGGCTGCCCCATTCAGGCACTCGTGGCCCTCACAGCCCACCAATGGCTCACTGCAGTTCTGGCCTCCATACAGGATGCCATCCTTGCTCTCTAATGGGCAGATGCAGATGTAGCTGCCAAGAGTGTCTTTGCACAAGCCTCCATTATGACACGGAGCAGAAGCACAATCGTCAATGTCCTCTTCACACAAGGCACCTAAAGGGGTACGATAGAGTTATGGAGAGTATAGTTATAAAATAAGTGAAGTTTGGAGGGAAGACCACACATGAAGCTTCTCCTCCCTGCTACACTATATAGACAAAAGTACTGGGACACCCCTCCTAATTATTAAGTTTAGCCACACCAATTGCTAACAGGGGTGAATAGTGTAAAGCACATGCCAGGAGAACATTACCTGCCTGACTGCACTGTGCCAAGTATAAAGTTTGGTGGAGGAGGGATAATGCTATGGGGTTGTTTTTCAGGGGTTGGCCTAGGCCCTTTAGTTCCAGTGGAGGGAAATCTTAATACTTCAGCATACAAAGACATTTTTGACAATTCTATGCTTTATGAGGAGAGTTTGGGGAAGACCCTTTTCTGTTCCAGCCTGACTGAGCCCCAGTGCACAAAGCAAGGTCTATTAAGGCATGGCTGGGTGAGTTTGGTGTGGAAAAACTTGACTGGCCCACACAGAGCCCTGACCTCAACCCCATCAAACACCCTTGGGATGAACTAGAATGAGTGAGCTGCGAGCCAGGCCCTCTTGTCCAACATCAGTGTCTGACCTCACAAATCCTCTTCTGGATGAATAAGATAAAATTCCCACGCACACGCCAAAATTTTGTAGAAAGCTTCCGAGAAGAGTGGAAGCTGCTATAGCTGCAAAAAATTAACTTAGTCCTCGGCCTCATCAACAATCAACAGTTTAATCGTGCAGAAATTTTGAAAGATTTCCCTTTCTAGCGGAAGCTGTCCAAAATTCCAGCTCAGCTCTTTTCTCAACAGTTCTCTCCCCTCCTACAGTCATACCGTTTGGTCTCGGTTTCATGTTGAAGTTGACCACATAAACATAAACCCTCTGAAGACAGCATGTCATTTTTAATTCATTATTTCCCAGAGGACAGCTGGGAAATTTGCATCATGCTCTTAAAAATGTTAATTTCAATCTAACCATGACCTAAATAGGATCCAGTATCTTCTCAATATCTCAGATTCTCCACTCAACATGTTCCAGACTGATTCACTGATTTGGCTCAGTGAGGATTTATTTCCCTTTATTTCTGCTTGTGTGGGAATGGATATCAATTTGGCCCTGCTGATGCCGAGGATAATGTGGGCATCTGTCAGTTGGTCGTTCCTCAAGCGGACAGTCACGCAAAGCTGGCTTCATAATGCCCAAATTCTTGTGTCACTGCTGCTGCCAGAGCTTGGCAGAGCTTCGGGATTATTAAATTTAATCGGTATGCCCACAGTTTGAATCACGTCCACGATGACTAGCATGTCATCACGTTAATATGAAATACAAATAAATAAAGAAATACCGATCTAAACAAGCAAAAAGCAACTATTTGTTACATGATGCTACACAAAAAGATGTTTGAGGAATTCAAATCTTTAACATAAGCAATAAGACTTCCCCAGAACCTTTCGACGGATCCGCATAGCAAAACATACGTATGATAGTACTGCTAATATAACTATTCTATAGCACAAATTAACCTCATACCACACATCTACTTCACAAAACACTAAACAGCTACCTAATATTTTTGTTTTGGCTAACTTACACAAGAGTTGAGAGAGACGGAGACATTACCTGAACTAAGTAAGAGGGCACTCCAAACCCAAATGATGTCTGTCCTCATAATGCTACAGATACTCTAACCGGTCACCAAACTTTCCTGCAGTCGCTTGACTCTGGGCACATATCCATATTTCTTATTGGCCATCCCAGTGAGTAGCCTTCACTGCTTCATGATGTACAGCTCCAGTCAAAGCCAGCGCCTTAAGGATTATCTTAATGCTAGTTGAGCATCTTACAACAGCAAGACCCAATTATAGACTGCGCCTCCGAACCACTTCTTAAGCTGTCTACCTGATCTGCCTCTTGCAGTGAGAGTGGCTGAACAGAAAGCGAGGGAACAGTTGGTTTTGTAACTCGCTGATTGGCCTCAAAACCTCAATCTGGTGCGGGCCTGTGTAGCCTATATTGGGTGAATCGTGCCGAAAGATCTATTTTATAGCATGTACTACCTTAAAGTTTCATTAGTCGATTTATTTATTTTCTTACTAGTGCAAATAACCTTGGACAAAAGTAGAACATGATTAAAAATAAATTGTTTTAGCAATGGCATCATGTGCCTGAGAAACCCCCATTTGGAAAACTGATTGGTGTACACAACAATTTAAGATGTTTGAAGACATGGCAAGAATGGCCTTCTCAGCTGCCATTAGCCATGTTTACATGCAGCCTGAAAATCTGTTAATAATCCGGCTAATAGCTCAATCGGAACATCATACGTCCATGTAAACACCTCAAACGGAATAGACTATCGGAATACAATTTATATCCGATTGAACAAGGTGGATAATCCTGTAAATAATTACCTGTGAATCCTTGCGGACACCTACATACATATCCAGCAGCGTGCCTGTGGTCATAGCGGTCAGGCAGCAGGTTCTCTGTCCCATAGTGTTTCTCCCAGGAGCGCTCGATGCAGATGGCTCCGTTTAAACAGGGACCACTGCCACATTCATTCACATCCAGCTCACAGTGATGGCCTTCAAAGCCTGCAACAGAGAGGACCATTACATAGTCTAATTGTATTATATATGCTTATTGTAATAAGCAAATAAATTGAATACTTGTGTTACTTCAAAATAATTAAAAAAGACACATTTCAAAAAGACTTGTTTATGTGGTTTCTGACACTGTATATGATACTGGTATCTATAACGATGGACAAAAGTACAAACAGTTCAGTATGGCTGCTACGACTGTTTTTAGTTATTCGACATACTTTTGTGCATTTTAGGTAACAGTATTTCATACAGTGTCAGAAACCGCATAAGCAAAATCCAAGACCTGAGGACTGTCATCACCCTCAGGCTACTTTACTTCATTTAGCATTGATGTTTTACTCATATTACATTCTTTACAGGTTAAATTTGAAACAGTAATGAATCAATGAATAAATAAATAATGCATATGATCTCTAATTAATTTATTAATGCAAAAAATCTTTGACATCATCAAGATGCACCTACTTGCCTTTGTGACTTTTACTTTAGCTGGGCTTACCTGGCCAACATTTGCAGGTGTAGTTCCTCCCCTCTTCCTGACAGAGGGCGCCATTGAGGCAGGGCTCATCCCAGCATGGTGGAAGAGGCACCTCACAGTACAAGCCAGCGAAACCGCTCTGGGAGCAATCACAGCTGTAGCTGCAAGAACAGGTTACAAACTGTGAAATAACACACGTTTCTCAAGTGCATGTGCAGTTACTGTAAATATGAATTATTTCTAAGAGCATCTGATTTTAATGCCTATCTGGGCTCCTTTTTTCACATATTCAAAATTAATTAAAGCAATGAACTGGTGAAAAATTAAATTTACCTCAGATAAAAACAATTAGCCAAAGCATGTTTTCTCCTTTAGTGTGGCACTGTGTCTGTCATGTAGATAACAAGCACAACTGCTGGAAATGCTTGATGTGAGTAGTTTAATGTGAAATGCTGTGTTGTACAAAAACATACTGAGTCAGAAGTGTTTACAGTGGTGGTGATGGGAACCAGACGTCTGAAGTGTCGAACACTTCTAAAAGCTCCTTCACAGAAAGTTACTACATGAAATGGTTATGGATACGCTATGAAGGCTATGAAGAGGGGCTGACATACACGTCATCTGCCTCTCATCATGTGTCCGTCTACATTTTGTGTGAAACTGACCAATGGACACTCAGGAAATCACTAAGGACTGACTCATCACATCAGAAACCCTTCATTCTTCATTCACTTGACATTAGAGACACATGAAATGGTGTACAAAGAGTTCACAGCCTCTGAATTTGCTGCAATGGTTTTGGAAAGTAGCAACTAAGATAACAGAGCATTTGATATGAAACGTATGGGCGTCGTTTTATATGCAAGTCAAAGGCAAATTCATGAAGACATGCATAAATCGAGAAAATGCCCTTAGAGCCCAGGGGGTTAAAAAAACACTGTAGGCCAAAAACTCTCTCTAAACGATCATAAAATGAGGCCTCAGGCGTCAGGCAATGTGCTCATAACCAATTCAGGTAAAAACAGTTTATCAAGTACCTTTTAAAGACGTTAAATTCTTCAGCTGTCTGGTTCCTATCACCACCACTGTGAACGATTCTGACTCTCTAAAATGGAGCATTTCACGTCAGACCACTGACTGTTTACACTTCAACATAATGAATTTAGCAGAAATTCTGAAAATTCAGCAGGAAACAATAAAAATCCTACCTATCGATTCCGTCAATGCACAAAGCTCCGTTCTGGCACAGGTGGTCTGTGCAGTCATCAATGTTGATCTCACAGATGCTTCCCTGGAAACCAGCCGGACAGGTGCATGAGAAGCTGTTAATGTGGTCGTGGCAGCTACCGCCATGAAGACATGGCTGGGACTGACACTCATCAATCTGCACCTCACAGCTAGCACCTGCAATCACAATATCAGGGAAAAGATCATTTAGCGACAGCCTGAACATGCCATGTGGAATGATACCAGACTCATAACAAGAAAGCCAGAAAAGAGTTGCTCCAGTTTCATGTACTAGATATGACAGTGATGTGGCAAAGATGTTGGCATGGCTTCTCTTTGAAAAGAAATGTTTTCTGGTTTTATGCTTAACATTTTTCATTAAATTCCTGAAACAGGTTGCTTGGATCAAATCCGAATAGGCCTACGACTTTATGGAAACACTTTAAATATATGTACTAATAGGTAAGTGCTGAATAATACTTCCAGCACTGTAGGGAGAATGCTGTTGTTTGAGCTTGACCCTGTGCAAACCAGTAATCAACTGTTCGCAGCAGTAATGTAATACCACAGTTCCACCACTAGAGGGCAGAGGAATCTTTGAAAAGAGGTACTTTTATTAGAACAGTCAAAGCAGATAGGCCACTTTCGTCAGCTGCTCTTACTGGCCACGTAAACACCTGCCTTGTAGGTCCACCTTGGTGATGTGCAGTAAGAGGCTGCTCCTCTAAATCTATCTGGGCTGTGTTGAGAATGGTCCACCAGTCAGATAATACTCAAATAACTGTTGTGGAGTAGCCACTCTTTGAGCAGTACTTTCATATATACACTACTATTCAGATGTTTGGACTTGTCATATTAATATTTTCTGATTATTTTATTCAGCAATGACATACAGTATGGACTGAAATATTAGAAATCAGAGGGTGTTTATACAGGTTTAGACCATATTTCTGGGAAACACAGTTAATGATGATGATACACTGTATACTTGTCAAGATATCTGCCTTGATATTTGATCAACACCTTTGCAATTTGAAGATTCCTGAATGTTAGTTTTATTATTATTTTATTTTATAGATATTATTTTATAATTACAATAACTAATAATCTGCAGCTTACACAAACATCATATTATTTAAAAAAAGTTTTATTTACTAAAAGCAGTGATTTCAAATATACACACCTTATTTGCCTACATAAAATCATTAAAGAGTGAAAAAGGTAATGCATTAAACTCGATTCAAAATTGTTCATCATTTCCACACGAATAAAACCTATTACATCAGGCATTTTTATTGCCAAAAAGTAAGTAAACTGAAAGACAAAATTGTCTTTATGTAGTTTATTCATTTAGAAATTGTGACCATCATTAATACAGAATTTCACCCATTTTTAAGAATTTCTGCATAATTCAATCACTAAAATGCAAACAAAAGTCATTGATGTGAAAAATATCTTCCTAGAGAAACTTTTAGAATTGTTCAGAATTGTTCACAGTGAGGTGAGGGGAACCAGACATCTGAAGAGTTCAATGCCTTTAAAAGCACCCTCACAGAAAGTTATTACACCAAATTATTAGGAATTTGTCACCTGATGTCTGTTTCACCATAGTTTAGTTTTGTGATAAGGTTTCAGCCTAAAACACATTTTTAAATTCATTCATAGTGGAGAGGTACATGTAGGGCTTTGTAATGCAAAAGAACACTTATTTACCACTATTTTACCATTGTTATAAAAACTGTACATGTAAATGTACAAATACATCTAAAAACTGAAAAGACACATGTAGGTTCACTGGTCCTTTAGGATAGTAAATGACAGGGGTTGCGACGTCTACAACACAAACATAACCATTATATTTACAATCCAAAGCCATCATTTGTCTTCTGTGTTGTTCATATATAAAATTGTGTAACATCTGAAAAAAATATATATAAAATATATTTCTAATAAATATATTATCCGCCACAACTGTTGGCACTCCTAGAAATTCTTGAGTGAAATTCTTGAGTGCAAGTTCACCTGTGTGATTAGGAACACTTAAATGGTCAGCCACTTCCTGTTTCTCTGGAGAATATATATGAGATGAAACACAGGCCAAATTCCCTCAGTTATCCATCACTATGAGAAAGACCACAGAATACAGCAATGATGTACAACAAAAGGTTGTTGAGCTGCACAAATCAGGAAATGGCTACAAGAAAATAACAAAATAGTTGAAAATGCCCTTTTCCACTATCAGAGCAATAATTAAGAAGTTTAAAACTACTGGAGATGTGAAGAATCTGCTGGGAAGAGGACGCATGTCTGTACTAACCTTATGTACATTGAGGAGGACAGACAAAGAATTTCCAAGGATCACAGATGGGGAATTGCAGACATTAGTTAGGTCTTTGGTCAGAATGTCTCCCAAACCACAATCAAACACCACCTCTATCACCATAAGTTGTTTGGGGTGGTTGCCAGACGTATGCCTCTGCTGTAAAGGATCAAAAACTCAAGCGTCTACAGTTTACTAAACACTACTGGAATTTTCACTGGGACTGTGTTTTATGAACAGATAAGGTTTTTGGCAGCAAACACCAGAGGTGAGTTTGGCGTAGACACAAAGATAGCCATGCAGAAAAGCACCCTCCCCTTTGTGAAGTGTGGTGGTGGATCTGTGATACTGTGGGGCTGTTTTCCTTCCAAAGGACCTGGACAGTTTATTCAGATACACAGCATCACAGACTTCATCAAGTACCAGCAGAAATAAAATTAAAATCTGACTGCCTCAGCCAGGAAGCGTAAACTGGGCCATAGTTTGGATCTTCCAGCAGGGCAATGAACCAAAGTACACATCAAAATCAACACAAAAATGGTTTACTGACCACATAATTAAGGTTTTGCCATGGCCACCCCAGTCCCCTGACCTAAACCCCATAGAAAACCTGTAGAATAAGCTGAAGAGGAGAGTCCACAAATGTGGACCTTGGAATCTGAAGGATCTGGAGAGGTTCTGTTCTGTATGGAGAAATGGTCTCAGATCCTCAGATCCTGTAAATGTGTAAATGTACGACTCCTGGTTCCTATCACCACCACCATAAAGAAATCTGAGTGAGTACGTTTCTCTACATTGAGTCATTTTACACCAAACCACTCTAAAAAACATATAGCTCATAAACTGAATTATGCCGAAAAAAAAAAAATCAGTGGAATTCCCTTTATGCCGCCCCACTCAGTCCAGTGAAGAGTGTATCCCTCCACCTCACCTGTGTATCCTGGTCTGCAGATGCAGACGTAGCGTCCGATCTTGTCCAGGCAGGTTGCTCCGTTCATGCAGGGTTGCGAGATGCACTCGTTCACCTCAATTTCGCAGCGCTTACCCTGGAAGCCTGGCACGCAAAAGCAGGAGGGGCCGTGCGGGCCGGTCCGGCAGAGGGCACGGTTACGGCAGGGGTTTGGCATGCACTGGTCTGTCTCTCTCTGGCACTGGGGGCCGGTATAGCCCGGTTGACACAGGCAGACATAGCCCGGGTCCCTGTGGGCCACAGCCAGGCAGCGGGGGCTCTCTCCGCACAGCGTATGGGCACATAGCTGGGCACTGGACTTACAGGCCTGGTCAGACAGGCCTGGCCAGCAGCTGCAGGCTAACTCCCCAGGCCGGCCACCGGTGGACTGGCAGGTAGCGTTACTCTGACAGATGGGGAGGTGACAGAGGGCATTGGAGGCACAGCTCTCACTGGACAGCACCGCAGCTGAAGACAGGCACTGACACAGAAATGTGGAGGGGTCATCCCGGCACTCAGCCCCGTTCTGGCAGGGTTTAGACAGGCAAAGGGAGGAGGCCTTTAGTGGTGCTGCACCTGAAAACAGTAATAGAGATGGAATGAAGAAAGAATAAAATCCCACAGCACAGTAGAAAACTGCAAGGCCTGTCATGATTAAACAAACTTGATTACTCTATCTAATTGCCTATATCTTATATTTTCTAAGATAATATTTTTTGTAGCAGAAATTGTTATAATTCATTTTTATATGACCATTCTCCAAGCTCTCTTAATCCCACAGAATTAAACAAGATGCTTTGGTGAGTATTGTATAATTAAAAATGATATATGCAAATGAGCTCTGTCCTGAGTGGCTGTCTTGTATTGTGCCTTGTTAAAAAGCAGTCCAAGCTGAAACACTCCTTATAACTTCAGCATGAATTGGCAGGGCTAAACTCACATACACAGTCGAATGCACAAGGTCAAATTACATGTAATGTTGACCCTCCAGGAAGGTGATCTTGCAATCAGGAAAATTTCATGCAAATTTAACCAATCCTTGCAGTATTTGCCAGAGTTTGCAATTTTGCCCAATCATGGCATTACTAACACACTCAACATGTAAATCTTTAAAGTGTTTTCAAAATGAAGCCACATATAGATGGAGCGTCTGATATCTGAGCTAAGCTGGCCACAATCAAAATTTTGTCCATTCCATGATTGCCTGTCTGCATGTCCATGGGAATGCTGCTCAGTGCCTTTTGCAAGTGGTTCCCCGCGCTATGTGCCATATCTGAGCTGTTCATAGCAATTTAGATACACTGTGAACTGTGTTGATTGGTGCAAATTGAGTTCATATTAGTTGTCATAGTGTCACTGGAAGCTCCAACTACTGTATTAAATACATTTCCTCAGACTTCCTGATGCATTAAAATGTGCAGAAAAGTGTTCTCTGTAGAGGATGTGTTAACTTGATTTCACTTAGAAAATCAACACCACGTCATTTGACAAACTTTTGCATGCAGCAGTAAATGCACTGGTTGAATTTCACAGGGTAGGTGAGGTTTTCTGGATGGTTTTACTGTTTAGTTAAGACCAATTTTTTCACTTTCTTAACTCAGATTATTCGAGTAAAGCCAAAATAATCAGTAGATTAACTGATTAATAATGACATCTTTTAAGAAGTACATGTTAAAATGCTCAAGTTTACAATTTCCACACATTGTCCAGTGGTCAGTCGACAGTCCTTCACAAGGCAATGCTCACTCGCCTGCACATGAAATGCTGCCTGGTGCCTCTGCTTTGTCTTTGGAGTGCTTTATTTTTGTTACGATGTCATTTTGTCTGTAAGTAAGCAACAGTAGAAACCCAAATCAGTGGTGAGGGCACTTGAAGGCCCCAGGAGGGCAGCATCTGCATCGGTTGTTGAGTGAAATGAGCTGGGATGAGAGCTTATCAGGATTTGTACAGAGATCTGAGCTGCTTGTGTGAATTTAAATAACCAACTGCTCTGATTTCAAGCCTAGGTAAGAGCCACTGACATCATCTCCCAGCTGAAGCATCTAATGTAGAGGCCATTGACATTCCCTGATGAACAGGACAATCAAGTTACATATATTTACAAGTTAAATAAAACCATTTCTCAATATCTTAAGGACCACCTTGGCTCTACTGGATCTGTTGTCTTTATTTGTGAGCGTTTTTGAAATATGTCTTTTTAGAATAAAAGCTTTTGCAAGAATAATTTTTGAAAATGCTGAAAAGCTTCTTAAAGAAAAGGTTTTTAAAGGGTTCATTATTAAAGGCAGTGGTTGGTGTGTGTGTATGTATATATATATATATATATATGTATGTATATATGGGTTAGCTGTGGCGCAGTTAGCCAGTTAGCTGCTCAGTGGCTCATTGTGCGGCCTGTCAGCGGTCGTGCTGTTGTCGTGTTATCGCTGAGAGAAACGCCGCTCTCGCGCTGAAAGGCTCCTTTCACGTCCCGCGAGCCCCACAAGGACATTTGCAAACTTCAGCGTCTCAACAAAGCGTCAGATCTGTCGCCATGGCAACCGATTCCACGCTTCCCGCGCTGAATTGCCCGGGTTGCTATGGTGACGGGTCGCGGACATAAGTCAGTCATTACGGGGGGCGTTTATCACTCTATTGAGCGGCCTCTGTCCTCTGTTATTTTACTGAGCAGCGAGACGGAGCAAATGGCACTAGCGGTGATGGTGATGATGACGGTTTTGTGGTGGAGGACGAGCTTTCTTTGTATGAATTGCCCTCATTTGCGGCCCATGTTTTTAAAGGACAGCTTTACCGAAAACCGAAATTTACTTCTCAACCACTGGGACCACACGTGGGCCGCAGAGCACCCTTTGGTGGGCCAATGCTCATAGTCCATAGTGGGCTGGTGATGGCGATTTGTCATAAAAATTAGTGAAAAAATAATTGCCAGAAAAGTTTCTTTTAAGTTCTGCCCTGGAGCTACAAGGCTAATGTAATAATGATGTATGGAAGTCTACGTCACCCAAAATCGTATGTCACCCATATACAGACGTTTGGGCACCTCTAGTCAAAGGACATGTTGTGTTAATTTTTCTAAGTTTAAATAAGTACAAATCCTTACAGAGAACACACTACATTGTAATACACAATTACTGTTTATCTTCTGTATTTAACATAGTGGAAAAAATATTTCCAATATGTTAAACTCAGCAAATAAGTAGAAACTGTGCATCAAACTTTGCAGATACTTAAGTTTGTTCCCCGTAGATGTGACTTATTTTTCCTTAGAAAATCAACAAAACGTCATTTGACCAGGGGTGTTCAAACTTATGCATATGACTGTAGACTATTATTATATTATAATGTAAATACAACAAATCTGTCTTATATGCTATGTAAGTAAGGATATTAATATACTTTTATTCCTACTCTCTCATACTTTACTCTATTTTTTTGTATGCCCAATTTATGTTTTTTTATTCCTATTCTTATTTCTGTGTAATATCTGTAAGTTTATGTGCAATTATCTATCTCTATCTGTCTCTTAGCTCCAGTACAAATCTAAAGAAGCTAACTTGGCACACCAAACATGTATTAACTGACTAACTTTAATTTCAACCTTACAGCATTTGTCGAGCAGGGATGATCAAAATCATAATCATTTATAATATATCCTCCTTATTCAACAGGCTTCAATGTCCCCCAACCCACAACTCCCTTAATACCTAAACTTCAGCTGCCACTCCTGAGGAGGAGCAATGCAGGACTTCAGGGAGTCTTTATGTACCTCATAATTGGGTTAACAATTCTCATTTTACATGGAGTGCAATAATGTCACCTGGGGTTTTAACCACCAAGCTCAGGATTCTTGTTACTTTAGTCACAAATTCAACAAGTGAAATTGTTTGCCTTCAGTCCACTTGACTTTCTCAATGTCAATGATATGCAAAGGAGCAAATTTCAACAGTTTGGGCGAGACCCTGACAGAAAGCTGTCTGTCATGAGAGCACTTTAAGTGCACTTTCAAACTCTTTTGCAAAGAATACATTAGGAAATGTGCTTGAACAGTAAATCAAAGTCTGGGCACATGACCACTCAGTCGAGACCATCTGTCATGCATCTTTACAGAACTCTGTGCTCTTCAAATGTTCTTTAGTATAAGGAATTGTTCTATTTAAAACCATGAGTTCTATATAGAACCATCCATTTCATGCTTAAACGGTTCTTTGCATGGTGAAATGGTTCCTCAGATTGATGGAGAATGTGTCTTATATGGTTCTATATAGCACAAAAAAGGGTTCTTCTATTGTGATAAGCTAGACATACACTCTTTTAAAAAATGGTTCTTCAATGGTTCTTTACTAGGGCTATTCCATGCTTAAATGGTTCTTTCCACATACAACACACTCTCTACCAAGCTGAAGCCAATCAAACCTATAGAAGCCATTACGTGTTTCTGTTGGTTCCAAAAACAGTTGGTTTTGTAATGTGTATTGATTTTTGTAATGGGTTGATATCACAATGTAATCCTAATGCTTTAACAAGTCATGCATCTGTCATACACCTTTACAGCACTCATATTACATTATATGGCATCCAAAACAGGGACAGGGAAGGCCTTGGAATGCAACGGCAAGCACACATCATAGCTCACAGCATCAATTTAGAATCATTCAGATTTAAAGAGAAGTACAATCATCAATCCTGGGATTATGTACACCAGCTGTATGACTTCACAGACATTAACTTAAAAGGAAACCATCTAGAAACTCCATTTGGAGGCCTTTTAGAACCTGTTTTGCCTTATAGAACCCATTTCACAGAGGTACTTTATGAAAGAAAACATACAGTTGTATTTCCTCCTATAGCAGGCTTCTATAGCAGTTCCAGTGAAACACTCTACACATTTGGTTGGGATTTCCATAAGACCCACTTAGTCTAGACCACCTCACAGCATGACCCTGGGCCACAAGGCCTTGGTGACGGGGGGTTGGGGCTAAACCCAAAGTGTTAGTTTGTCTAGCCATATGGACAACTTGACAGCACATCTTAAATCTACACAGGACCATAATGGTAAGACTGGATTTAGCATTAAGGAACCACAACACCATTCACTCCAATATACACGGAGGGACAATGTAATAAACTCATAACACAGACAGACAGACAGGTTTCAAAGCCTGAACAACAGTTGTTGTTTTTGATGTAAGACATCAAAGTTTCCTTTTAAAAATGTGTAGAGTTTCTAAGTCTTTGAAGACTAGCCTTTTATGTTTTCGAGCGCTATTCTGACCCCGTCTCTGTCTGACTTTCTTTCTCCTCGTCTGTCTCTCGCCACATCGTGATCACGCATTACAGACTCAGTGCAACACTTCACCGTTAGAGCTGCATTTAGGCTGATTAACTGAAGCCCACCTCATTTTTTTTCATATTTAGGTTGAAAAAGGTGAGATTATGCACTAAACTAAGCCTAAATACAATGCACCACAATTACAGCAATAATAACTAATAATAATAATAATAAATCAAACAAAAGTAAACGTAATAATAATAATAATAAGAAGAAGAATAGTAATAATAATGTAAGAAAAACGTAATAATAACAACAACAACAACAATAATAATTATAATAATAATGGCAGTGCAATAACTTTATCCTATGTCTTGTAGCATTTTTGTTTTTAAAAAGTGTATTAATAAATAAATAAATAATTCAACAGGTGCACGAGCTGCCAAGTAAACTCGTGCTGTACAACAGGCCACAAACAGGCTACTCACGTTGTGTCCAGTGCGCAATAAGGATGAGAATCGCTAATGAGTTAACGCTCCTTGCTCGCACAGAAGCAGAGCCCATGTTGAGCAGTCATGGTGTTTGTGGTTTAGCTGGTTTGATCATGGTGCTCTTGGCTCCAGCAGCAGCTTCTCCTCGCTGTGCACGCTCTCCTCCAGCAGCCTCTTCTGAACAGGACCGCCCTATGAGCCCCGCTCCAGCCAATGGGAGGCGGCTCTGCACTCCATCAACACAAAGACGCCGGCGGGGATTGGAGGAAAAGAGGAGAGAAACGACGAAGTGCACTTCGAATGATAATTAGGGGACGCTTAGAGAGGGAAAAAAGGAGGGAAGTGGCAGGTTAAAATGCGCTCTCCACATTCAAATGCAATCAGTCTTGCACATTTGCATTTCATAAAACTGCTCAAAGTGAACGCCTCTGTTCTGAAAACGCACCAAGAGCTGTGCACAGAGATGGTGCCTGAATTAGTGCCTGAAAGCCTCGATATTAGACTGTTTTGAGTGCTGAGTGATTGTATTTGACATAACTACAATTTTAACACATTTGAAAACGAACGTGCTAGTCTTATTTTATTATTTTCGTGGATATCCTTAGCTTGTCTTGCTTCTTTTGCTTTAAAAATGTCAAAAACGTGTAGACTGAAAAAGTCTCAGCGGTTTACAGGGAAGCATAGAGAGTATTTCAACAGGTGATGCCATGCGGTTGGACCTACGTGATCATCTGAATGAGGCGTCAACTGCCCGTGTTGTGGGCGTGGCGTGTGAACGTTTAAACTCATCGCGGAACTCTGATAGGCTGTTTTTTGTTTTCCTCTCTGTGATTGGACAGACCAATGTAGTTGCTGTGATGCGATTGGTCGACCGTTTCGGCATCAGATTCAAAATACAGTATACAGATAAGCTAGCTGGTATTGGAAGTGTCCAGTGCGGTTCGCGTGTCAGAGGAGGGTTTAACAAAGCCAGTGTGCGGAGGATGTTTACTGTGTTCGGTCCGAAAGAGTAACGTAGAACGGGGATATGTCGCATGACGTTGCGAGAGCGGGTTTGTTGGATTTCAGTCCAACGTTTAATCCTCCTTCTCGCAGAAGCGGTGATAAAACCAACAAGGAAAACGAGGCGTCTGTTCCAGTCCTCAGCCTGGTCCAGTTCTCCAGGTCTCCTTTCGTGGCGTTTGGCACGATAAAGTTAGGCTCATCAAGATCTCTACCTTTACGCATCGAAAACCCCTGCGAGGACGCTTTTACGACAGTAACGGTGGATAAAATTTCATCGTCCAAAGGCTTCTCAGTGGATCCGACATCCTTCACAATCCAAGTGAGTATGCTAACGTTTTGCTAACTGTCTGAGTTCACAAAGCTAACGTTAGTTAGCACTGCTTAGCCTTTTTAGTGGTTGCTAATGCGGCCCAACAAATTGTCAGCAAACGTTAAACGTTGGAGTTTCAAAGTGTTGACTGTGAATTTGACTGTTAGTCTTAAGTGAATTTGGCTGTTAGTCTTAAGTGAATTTGGCTAGAGAGCAGGGCTGGGTGGAGTAACTTGGCCTAAACCCATAACATAGCTAACCTAGCTAGCTTAACGTTACTTTACGGAGGTAAAAGTATTGTTACTTCGGAGTAACGTTAGGGCTGAACGATTTGGGAAATATAACCTAGCTATCTGTGATTTCTTCTCAAGAAGACCACAATATCGACCTTTTCTAGTACTAATGTACTGTGACAGACTGCCAGTAAGTTGTGGTTGTGATGTCACAAAACGTGGAGGTTTGGTTCCCTTTAATTGATCTAATTACCTACAGTCATTTCTCAAGTTCTGTGTTATTAGGTTAAACTTCCCCTCTTAAAACTTTAGAGTGTTTTTGAAAATGTAGGTTATAATTTAAAAAAAAAAAATTGCAGCTCTTGCAGTTTGAAAATTACACTCTCTTAAATTGCCATTTAAATATAAAAACGATTGATCTTTCAATCACAAATAAACTGGAGCAGAAGTACTCTCATTTGACTATACTTCAGAAAAAAAACATCTGTCAAAATGTCGGCTGAGTAAAAGTAATTAATTACAGGACACCTCTACAAGTTTTTGCTTTTTCTCAGGATAGCACATAAAGCAACCATAAATGATTTTGGTTGTGAGGTGCAAGAATAATTTGAACAATAAACTGTAACATGACTTTAAATAATCGCACAGTAGTACCTGTAACTGTCTAGAAACCTTTACGTTACATGTGATTATTCTTTTTTTGTGGCTTTGATATTTCATGTTGTATATATGATTCACACAGTTGTTGACAATGATAAATAAATATGAAATCATTATTATTATTATTATATTTATTTATTTAAAAACATACTTCTATATGGCACCAGGAAAGGCTTGGCTATTGTTACAAGAGTCATAGAAATGTTTTTGATGCTATATCAGACCCTTTTTTGCGAAGACTGTATTATACATAAAGTGAAAATATGGACACATCCTGACATCCTAAGATTAACAGGCAGCTCTAATTTCACATGTTCAAGGTTAGATTTGTTCATCACCACTTTAAGACAGCACGTGTAATTCCTTTCATTTATTACTCTACTAATAGCCTGAAGACAGTGTCATTATAACTGTAACATGGACACCTGTGGAAGAAGGTGGTGTGAGAGAGCTGCTCAGCTTTGTTGCCAATGGTGTTGTGAAACATCAAGCAATTTTGCTTGGAAAAGCAGAGGCTACAAAAAAGAAAAAGGTAAGCATTTCTCTCATTATGAATTTTATTGTATTTTCTGTGATCTAGGCCAGTGGGCCAGGTCACTGTACAGTTTAGTGTGTCCCTGCCTTATTTTGCATGCCTGATTAGACTGATCTGCAAATTGCCACAATTTTGAAATACTGTACACTGTTAGAAAAAAGGTTCTGTGCAGGTACATTTTTTTTGTTCATCAGGGTACAAACAATGTAAATGTTCCCTCAAAGCTGCAACAGTAGGTTTAAGGTACAGTTGTGTACCTTAAATAAGCTTTTTCTCAATGGAAAAGTGTGCATGTGTGCCTTTTCATAACCTAATGTTTTAAAACAGAATAATAAAATGAAAAGCCTAAAGATGAGACGGCGTGTGTGGAGTTAGTACAACTTAGAAAATATCATTTCAATGGATTATGGTACAGTTGTTTCCTTACTAAAGGTACTAAGATGTTCCCTTGAGTGTACCACCCCAGTGGTAAGAGGGGTACTGCCCCAGTGGCAGTTTCATACCTGTTTTTCTGAGAGCTTAGGTTAATTAGACATGTGGAAATAAGGAAACATTCAGCTCCAGTGTCCTGTTTCCATTTACCTTACCGTTATCGTCAAGTTAAATGAGGCCTAGTGGTATTTGAATAATGACCGATATTCTCTTGCTTTCGTAGAAAAGTCTATGGGATTCGATCAAATCCAAGAGAGACATTTCTACAGTCTCAAAAGGCGTCAAGGAGGCTACCATGCCAATAAAGTCAGCCAACAAGACATTTCATGTCTCTCGACAGCCACAGTACAGAAGAAACAGAGGATCAAACCCACTGTCACCCTTAAATCAGGAGAGGTCTTCTCGCAGATCCAGTGGCAGCAAGGATAGAAATGGCCTGTCTGCCTGTCCTCTGATTCCTCAAGATCTACCCAAATCTATTCAGGCTAACTTAGAAAACCTGCCCCTTCATAAGAACTCTCCAGTTGTTCTGTTGGTTCCAGCTGATAAAATTCTAGACGCTTCAGATAAGACCAATAGCTCCTGTTTGCCTCTACCTAAAGAAGTCAGAGTGTTAAATAAGACGCTCTCACCTATTAGGACTCCAGAGACGTTTTCCAATCCCCTGACATCCTGCTTTCAGAGTCCACTTCCTGTCATTGGTAAAATAGTTAACGATGGAAGCCAAGAACCAAGAACACCAACATTGTCTGTGAAAGATGCTTTAGCGGTCATTGAATCTGACCTGACTCATGCTGTTAGCCCACCAAATGCTTGCTCAAGCTTTAACTTCTCTGATTCTCTGGAGTCCGAACACTTAAATGCAGACTGTGAACCTGAAGCTGCCACAAGAGCGGTTGAGAATGTTCCCCCACAGGTTGATGTTGCTCAGCCAAGGCTAACCTTCTTTGTCAAATCGAACAAAGTCTTAAATGACAAGTCAGGTCATGATGGCTTCATGCACAGCACTGCTGTTTGCTCATCCACAGTTATCAAATCTTACAACAGGTTAGATGATGAACAGGATCAGAAAGGCACTAAATCCAAGAAGATACTTTTTAGTTCTGCTACAGTCACCAAAGCCAAAGCGGAGGCCACTGTTGAGCACAGTCCTGGCACACGCAAAATAAGAACCTCCCGGCGTAGACTATTGGAGAAAACGTCTTCGCTTTCAGATCCTAGCAACGCAGAGTCAAACACAGTCTTATCTCAAGGGGTCTCTGCTCTACCTGTCATCAACTGTGACACAGATGTTGAATTCAAATTTATAGTGACTTCACCACAGGTGTCACCACAGCGTCTGATGACACAGCAACCGGCCCTCAAAGATCAGTCCACCTCCACTTTCTCTGTGCCGCTCCAACCAGCCTCTGTTACTGATGCTAACCTTAATCCTACAGTTCCAGTGGACAGACCCACGTCTGAGATGTTACCATCCTGTGTGTCTCTGGACTCATTTCCTGTGCACAGTCAGGTATCAAAACAGAATAAAAAGAGAAAAAGTGAAGAATTTTCAAGAGACTGTTCAGATGTAGCAAAATCCATCCAAGTCCAAAAAGGCTGTTCTGTGGCCCAAGAATCCAAGAAACCATGTCCTGAGAAGAGGCTCAGTGCAAGGACAGGATGCAAACCAACTGGTAAGGAAAATGAAAGTGTTTTCTGTGTGAAGATCACAGGTAAATTTAGCATTAAGTGTAAAAACGTTTGTATAATTAATTCATTAAGACGTTTAAAAATTAAATTGGAGAAATTTGATGTGAAATGCTCCATTTGGAAGATTTGTTGGTGTGATAGGAACCAGACATCTGAAGCATCTGATGTGTGTGTGTGTGTGTACGTTAGTTTACCATCAACAACAT